TATATATATATATATATACACACACACACACACACACACATATACATAAATTGTCTCAGGGTTCTTTAGTACTATGGCCAAGACCAGCCTGGGTCCCCTGACTCCTGGTCTTCTTGGTTCAATGCCTCCAGTCAGCCTGTGTGCTGGCTCCTGAGGAACACTCAGGTGATAAACTCTCTTACTGCTGCCAGGAGCTTCAAGCCCTTTAAGATCTGGGAGTGGGAAATTCATTGTCCTGAGACTCCTGGATCCTTGAACCATGAGTTGGGGGCAGGGGGGAGGTGGGTTCTGCCACTGGACAGTGGGGTTGGCAGAACCCAGGAGAGCCCAGGTGGAAGATGGGGTAGAAAGTATGGTGTGCTCTTCTGGGCACAAAGCACCTGGTTGCAGAGGCGTCACCTGATGGTGAGATGGAGGTGATGACACTACCCCTCAGCCACAGGTCGCTGAGAGGAATCCATGAATGAAAGACTGGTGATGAGTTTAGAACTCCCTGCCTTGCCATTGGGGTCAGACCCCAGCATTAGTTGTTCTCATAGAAACAGAGGACCTTGGCCTAGCCTGCCTATGGAAGATGCCACCAACCATCTGGCAGTGGTGTCTGAAGAGGAAAGTCAGACAGGCAGGGCTCCTAACAGCTGTGACCTGCACTGCACTGAGCCTGGGCATCCTGTCCTGCTTTCCCAGGAAGTTCACCCTGGATGATCTGCTGACCAACATCATGATCTACTGGACAACAAGGACCATCATCTCTTCCCAACGATTCTACAAGGAGAACATGGGCCAGGGCATCATGGTCCATAGGCATGAGGGGTGAGCCTGGCTGAGCAGGGAAAGGGGTCTCTGGTAACCGTTTGGCCTTTAACCCAGGCAGGGCATGATAACAAGATAAGAATGATGACAGATGTCCTGGGTGCCCACCCCCTAGGGATCCTGGCCTGCTATGGCAGGTGCTTTCAGATTTGCAAGGCCCATATGGAGACCCTCAAGTGGCAGTAAAGGGACAGGCAAGCAAAGTGGACAGTAGAGGTTCACACACCCCGCCTGACAGAGGAGGTCCTTAGTGAGTGGGAAGGAGGGGTTGTAGTGGGAGGGCTGTGTGAGCCCTGCTCTGCCCTTATCAGTATGGCTCACGTGGCCTGACTCAGCATTCCGGAGGTCCTGGGAGCCCTGCTTTGGGGACAGGAGAGCAGCACCTCAGCCTCTGCCCACAGTAATCTCTGTTCCTTCCAGGATGAAGGTCTTTGTGCCCACGGGCTATGCTGCCTTCCCTTGTGAGCTACTGCATGCCCCGGAAAAGTGGGTGAAGGGGAAGTATCCCAAGCTCATCTCCTATTCCTACATGGAACGTGGGGGCCACTTTGCTGCCTTTGAAGAGCCCAAACTTCTGGCCCAGGACATCCACAAATTCGTGTCACTGGCTGAACTGCAGTGATAACATTGGGGACCAACCATGGCTTCAGAAGCAGTCCTGGCTCCTCCCTAGTCTCCCCTCTGGAAGATGCACACTCTCTGAGAAATGAGTTTGAGTGCCCTGCAGGCTCTGGGAGCCAAGGCACACCCCTCCACCTCTCAGCACCCCTATATGTTAGGTTACAGACCCTAAAAAAAAATGCTGCTTCTTTAAAAGAAACAGGCACTGCAGCTTCAGAGAGATGTAGCCACGCCTCCCTGCCAGGAAGCGGGTAGGTCTCTCTCTTGCAAAGGGAACTAACAGACAACCTACTTTGGTCTTGAAGTCTCTTCCTCCACTCTGTTGCTGTGGGTAAGGCCAACCCCCTGCTATCGAGACCCAATTTAACCTTGAATTATCCGTTGCTCCTTCATCTAGTATCTTCCTGACTCCTAGCACTGGCTCTCTCGCTTTCCCTCCTTTCAAGACTCCCTTGCATTGCCCATAGAGCAGTACCACAACTCTCCTAATAAAGCTCTTTGGAAGGACAGTCAGTCTCAGCACCTTTCTATAGAACTTATAACATCTTTTCTAAAAGTTATCTAACACACGATGCACTCCTGTTAAGCAGTATGGCTTTGGCAAAAAATTATTTTACTTTTAAGAGCATCTGGATCAAAGGACATTCACTACCCATGGCAACCCACATAAGGACTCTCTTTCCAGGGGTGAGCCCTCATCTCTGTCCTTGTGCTTTGGTGTCCCTCCAGGCCTGTTGGCAAGGGCAGAAAGAGTGGCTGGATACACCCACTGGGCAGGTCCACCTGCACCAGGCAGCCCCAAAAGCATTGCAGGCCAGTCGGAGGAGAGGCGATCTGAGAGTGGGGCTGGTTGGGGGTGTGAGAAGGCCCTGATAACCAAGAGCCACCAGACCTATGAGAAAGCACAGCAGGATTGGCAGAGCCCCTGGTCCTGTGGTAAGGGGGCTGGGATGAAGGCAGGCCCCCAAGTGGTTGGTACCTGGGCTGCTATTGCTCTGCCCTACCTCTACCCAACTTTTGCCCCCTAAGTACCACCCATCCCCATATGTGCCTTGCCAACCCCCTCCTACCCTGTATGGACCCTGTGCCTCAGGTGCCCCCAGCCCTGGAATCCCACTGTGGAAAAGGGAAAGCAGCTAAGCACCATCCTCCTCTTCTCTCTGTGCCCACCATTCTGTCCTCCTATGATTCCAGGGTAATCTAGATGCTTCCCCTCCCATCTTAGAGGGAGCAGACACATGGGGTGGAGGCTGGATGAAGCCTTCATGGATGTGCAAATACACACATTCATCTGGACAAGGCATAAGAGGTGGCATCTCACCACCTGGCCCAGTGGGCACTTTATTAATGGTTCCTACTATCCCTGCCTGCTGCAGGGTGACCCTGACCCAGCCACAAGAGTCTCAGGCAACACGACACCAAAACCCAGAAGCACAGCAGGTGTGGAGTGTAGACCAGAGCCTGCTGCAGTCTGCAAGGGCAGGTCCCTTCCAGGTTCCCATCCACTGATCTCTGAGTAGGAGCTGTATGCTGGAGGAGTACTGGGGCACCTGGCCCCCACGTGGGCTCAATCCGAGACCTGAGACCCAAGGCTGCATCATTAACTGTTCATCAGCTTGCAGAGGGGTAAGCAGTGCTCAGGACTCAGAGGGACCAGGTCTTTCCCTGGACACAACGCCCTATCATCCAGCAGTCTCCCAAGGCTGATCAGCCTAAGGGTAAAATTCTAACACATGATCTTGGCTATAAACAACTGGGGACATCATCCCAACTTACAGAGCTGTACACTTCGAGAGTGAATGTACAGATTCTCAAATGACCACATGAGGGAGTTGCTGACATTCCCCACGCTTGCACTGGAACCAGACAAAAAGAAGCGTACTGCTGCTTTGGGGTAGCCCCACCCTGTACCCTCAGCCAACCGCCTGGGCTTCAGGCTTTGTTGGTTCTGTTTTCTCAAAGCAGTGGAGCCTCAAATGACTGGAAGAAGTGGAGAATATGTCCAGGACTGCAGGCTAGCCCCTTCTGCACCTCAGTCCTCCCCGAGTCTTCTAGACCAGCAGCTTGGTCACTGTCAGGCTTCCTGGTAGGCACAGGCCACACTGTCATCAGGACTCTGAACCAAGTACTGCCCAGAAAGAGTCCCACTGATGTTACGGATGGCTCCATAGGTCTGCTGCTGCTGTGGGGAGAGTGCTGTCCTCTCAGAGACCAAACCATTCAGAATCCGAGGCACGTAGGGCTGTTGGCAAATACTAGAGTTAGATCTTTCACGGTGGCAGGCCTGACATCCCATGTCCTGGTCATGCCCCATTACCCTGCCTTCTCCAAGAAATATCACCCACTTGGGGCATCTGGACCCAAAACAGGCCAACTGCAGACTTCCCAGCAGCCAGAGCATAAAAGAAAACAGTCTCCAACCCAGTTCTCATGATCATATAGGAGGAAACAGAGAGACCTTCTCCACTGCTCATAGGAAACATACCTTCCTGGCACTGAGTTCGGGGCCGCTATAACTGTATACAGGAAGTCGGGCTCTCTATGGGGATAGGTGTGTCAGTTGTGTTCCTCCCAGTCCCGGGCTGGGAATAAGGGATCTCCAGTATCCACCTGGCCTGCTCTCCTTGCTGGCTGGCAGGGCTTCTGATGTCCCTGAGTAATGATTCTCCCTGAAGGTCTTCTTAATAGGGGCTTGTCCAAGGACAGATCTAAGAGGAGTTCCTGACCCCAGGGACATAGCTACTGGAAGGACCAAGGCTGAGAGGCCAGCCGCACATCTGTTTGGATGGCCAGAAGTCAGCACTCTGCCATTCTGGGGCTCAGGGGCCCCGCCCCACCCTGGGGCATCACTCTAGAGGCAGGAAGAACTAGTATGGAAAGGGGTCAAGGTGCCTTTCCAATCTGTCTCCTCCCTCAGAACAGGTGCCACCTCATACATTTGCTGAACTCAGAGGGGCATGTGTTTGCTGCCTCCTTGTGGCTATCAGAAGACCTCACGCAGGCAGGTGACTAGCTAGTAACAAAGCTTCATCCAGCTACAGGACCTCCTGATAGGAAGCTTTCCAGGCAGTGGACTGAGAGAGAGTAACTGCAGCCCAGAGGAAGATGCACGTCTGTCGGGCTGACTAAACCCCTCAGTGACTTTAGAGGTAGCCTCGGTCAGGTGACGACATGAGGACTGACTAGGGGTTCCTCTCAGTTGACAATAATTCAGAACTAGCCTGCCAACTGACCTGGGCTTTCTTCTTAGCTAGAGGTGTTCCAAGCACATTGCCATGGCCTCTCTGGATGAGACCTTACAACTAGAGTGATAAAGGGCATGGGGATAAAGCACAGAGAGCTTACTGTGAACAGTGGGGGCACATGGGCCTCTGTCTCACTTCCTTTGTCATTTGCTGATTCTTCTGTCTGCAGACAACAGCAGAGATCCACAATGATGAACAGAACTGATTTCCCCAGACTAACATCCCCCAAACAAACAGACTAGTAACCCATAGAATAATAGTACCAACTAGCACCAGGCTCCCAGTGCAGGCTGATGCAGGGAGGGAGATGGGGGCCTGGAACGGGGGAAGAAGGGAAGTCACATCACATCCCACTCTCAAAGGAAAGCTGGGAAAAGCACAGTACTGTATTCACATGGGGAGACAGAGAGGAGAGAGAACCATGCTATCCTTGGAGTCCAGCCTGAGGTGTGGGGCAGGGCCCTCCCTGTACCTTGTAGTTCTGAGGGATGAGGTGCTTGAAGCATCCAAAGCAGGTATAGATAAGGCAGGCCAGGATGGTGAGCAGCACCACCAGGAAGGTGAACAGGGTGGCAGGGGCCTTCAGACCTGGGAACACAGATGCAGCCTTGAGGCTGGGGGCTCCTGTCACACTTGCTCTGTTGAAGAAGAAGCCAGGCCTGGTGCCTGAACTATGCCTGACTTTCCCTAGCAGCCCCTCACGCCAACAGTCAGAATGGTGTCCTCACACCTTGGAACATGTAGAGGGAATGACCCACAGGATGGCTAGAAATATCCCTGGTCAGGTTTCAGGCACAGGGACACCATCAATGGCCATTTGGCAGTGAGCTTACTGGTACAGTTCCCTCCAGCTGCCAGGGCCTAGGGCTAGGCGGAATGGTAGCTTCCCCGGCTGACTGTGCAGAGTCCCACGGACCTCTGCCTTTTTCTCTTCCCCAGGTATCATTTCCCTCCTGCATGTCCCTGGTTCCTCCATACCAAAAGCTTTGAGGACCTAGACCAGTCCACTCCCCGACCCCCAAAGAAACCACAACAGCTTCCCCATCTCCTCTGGCTCTACCCCTCGCCCCCCCACGCCCCAGCTGTCTTCTCTATATAGAGATGTCTAGGACTATGTCACACCTGACCTCAGGCTAGCTCGGTAGCCAGGCTGTCAGTATCATACCAACCAGTCCCTCACCAAGGGGCACCATGTTCTACCACACTGTGCTGTGAAAGTAGCCAATGATCTGGCTGACTGGTGTGGATGTGGGGCTACGAGGCCTAGGACTGGGCACAGCTCCCAATGCCCCTCACCGAGACGCAGGAAGGAGAAGAAGAAAAGCCAGAAGAGGCAGAGGATGGGAGCAGCCAAGGCCTGGTTCACAGCAGCAAAATGGATCCTCTTCTCCAGCTTGGCTGGCAGGTAGGCGAAGTAGAGGTTGTGCCGATCCACCAGGTGCTTGAGCAACATGTAGATGAGGCCTGCAGAAGAGGGGCTGCGAGCTGTAGACCCCGCCCAACCCTGTAAACCATAAGCACCTCTGCCCCCTTTCTCCTATGGTGTCTCTCTTTTGCCTGGCGCTAGGGGGCAAGACTGCTGACCTACAGCTTGACCCTGAAGTTAAGGAAGATGTGTATCCTGGCTGCCGGTTCTGTCTCTTCCTCTCCCAACCGCACTACCTTCCGCACTTCTTCCTGATCCCAAGGAAACATCTCTCTGCTCTGTCTCCCCAGAACACTGAAAGTCCAGGATCATGTAGGGAAAGGAACTGTTTTGACACTGAGGTGCCTGGCCTCAAGTCCTAGCCCTCCCACACTGTAACCCCACCCTCCTGCCCTCCTCAGTACTTAGATGCACAAAGGCCTTCCTTCAAGCAGGTATGGAAAGTGGGTGCTGCCCTTTTCCAGGATGCCCCTCTTGGTTAATTTTTTTTTTGTCTCAGTTAATTTACTCTTAAGTATTTTGCATCAAGTAAGACAGTGCTATAATGGCAATCAAAACTCTTGCATTAGGCTCAGCAGTTAAGAAGACTAACTGTTCTTGCAGAAGACCTGGGTTCGAATCCCAGCACCCACATGACAGCTAACAACTGTCCATAACTCCAGTTCCAGGGGATCCGATAGCCTCTTCTGTCCTCCTCGGGCATTGCACCACACAGGTGCACTTACCTACATGCAGGCATAACATATAACATTTCATACACATAAAATAAAAATAATAAATAAAATATTTTTAAAAAAACCTCTTGCATTAGGGCTTGGAATGTAGCTCATTGGTAGAGTACATGCTAAGCATGTTAAGGCTCTGGATTTTGTTCCCAGCACTTAAAAAGAATAAAAGAGCCAGGCATTTGGGAGGTTGAGGCAGGGGGAATCCTAAGTTTAAGGCCAGCCTGGGCTACAACAAAGCAAGACCTTGTCTCAAAAAATAAGGTGGACAGTGATAGAAGACACCTGACATCAACCTCTGGCTTTCATATACACATGTACATAAGTGCATTCCCACCTGCACTCACTCGTGCACACACACACATGCATACACACACACACACAAACACACACACTACACCACACAAATACAGGCATACACACAAATCAAACAAGATACTATAGTGGGCCAGCAGAGTGTTGAGAGAGGCCATAATAGAGGCCAGAAGGAGCAATTCACTTAGAAATTAAATGAAATTTGGTGTCACATGTGGTTCCCCAGCAGCTTATGGAGAGATGGCTCAGTGGCTAAGAGCACTGGCTGCTCTTGCAGAGGACCCAGGTTCGGTTTCTAGCACCCACGTGCTAGAACTGTCCCTAACTCCAGTTCCAAGGGGTCTGGCACCTCTTCTGGCCTCTGCAAGCATTATACACATGTGGTGCACTTACATGCATGCAGACAAACATTCATACACATAAAATTTTTAAAAATTTAAAAGAGCTGGGCATGGTGGCATATACCTTTAGTTCCAGCATTCAGGAGACAGAGACAGGTAGATCTCTGTGAAATCAAGGCTGGCCAGGTCTACATAGCGAGTGCCAGGCCAGCTGGGGCTACAGGGAGACCCTGTCTCAAAAAGACCAAAAATAAAAAATTTAAAAAAGAAGTCACTCTGCTGGGGCGCCACTATGACCTAGTGGTAGTTGTCTCAAGGAAGTGCAGAGCCAGTTGTCCATGTACCCTGGGACTGACTCCAGGGTCCTTACCAAATGGCACTATAATAGGGCAGGTGATGCTGTAGGCCATGATGACAGTGAAGACACACAACATCCACGCGTACATGGCTCCAAACTCATATTCAAAGGCCTGGTTCTGGTAAGAGAAGGAAGTGAGGCGCTCACAGCCTAGTTCTGTTCCCAAGCATCTGTCTATGCACTCCAAGCATTGAGGGTCAAGCAGGGTGGAAAAGAACTAGGTAGAGAGGAGACATATTTCTGGAGGTCCCTAGCTCGCCCTTCTAGAGGCAGCTACAGCTTCTCGCAGTTCACACCCAGACCTCACAAGACATGGTGAATGGTACTCTCTTCCTCCAATTGTGTTCACACAATAGGCCTGAGTCTCTGGAGAGATGGCTACAGGACTCACTGTAGGAACAATTTCATACAGATAGACATCTATCAGCTTGGCCCTCACACAGGTGGCCTGGACCAGCTGTTTGCACTACTGTAAAACAGGGAAATGAGTGGTGCCCATCTCAAAACGCAGAGGGCAGCTGGCTTCTCTCTCCTTTCACAGTACTCACCAAAGCATAGGGAATAAGAGACCTTACACTGCCCAGTCTTGGAAATCTTGGAGTAAGTACCATAGCCTAACCTTTGACATTTGAGGTGCTCCTAAGAAAATATCTAAACACACGATCCAGGAAAGGGATTTATGGATTGTATATTATCTTTCTCTTGCTAAGCAGGTGCTTAAACCACTGATCTATACCCCAACCTAGGAATGTGTGGGTTTTAGTTACATATTCATGTGTGGTGGTTAATCTTGATTGCAACTGGATTTGGAATCACCTAGGAGACACAACTTGAGTAAGTATTTCCATAGAGGTTTAACTAAGGGAAGACTCCCAACCCCTGAATGTGGGTGGTACCATTCCATGGGCTGAGGTCCCACGTGGAATAAAAGGTGGGGGGAAGGCAGGGAACTGAGCATTAGCATTTATCTCTCTCTGCTTCCTGACTGGATTCTACATGACCAGCTGCCTTATGCCCCCTGCCCCCCAACAGCTAGGAATGCTTTCATCACCACTTTCCCCACCAGACTGAGAGCCAAAATAAGTCCTTCCTCCTTTAAATTGCTTGTGTCAGGCATTTTGTCACAGCAATGAGAACGCAATATAGTGTTTAGCCAGACTTGGATAGGCTGTAAAAATCCTAAGCTCTTTCCTGTAGCCCATGAGTCAGAGTATCCAGCCCATGAGTCAGAGGGGAAATTGGAGGAAGATTTTCCAGGACCCAAAGAGGTTGCTGGTAGAGACCACCCTGGGCCTGGGTTTAAGGAGCTCTTGCCACCATGCCTAGCACTAGTTCCAGGGTGGGGAGAGGCCCACAAGCAGGGATCGCTACCTGCTTAACGTTCCTGCGGTCGGCAGCTGTTTTAGCCATGATCATACGGAAAGTGTAGAGGATGAGGCCAGGCAGCCGCAGCAGTTCCATGCCACTGCCGATGAAGGCCGAGGCAATGACATAGTTCACAAAGAAGGCACCCTGGTCTGGCAGGAAGACGCACCTGGAGAATGAGAGAAGTCTGTGAACTGGGGGCCCAGAGCTTCCTTCCAGCTGGAGAGTAAGGGGTCCCCAGGAAGGCTTTCACTGCATCCCTTCATTCAGTGAGTATTTGTGGAGCCCATGTGAACACTAGGCACTATGCTGGAAGCTAAGAATAACATCAAGGGACTGGAGAAATGGCTCAGTGGATAAGAGCACTGGCTGAGCTGGCAGAGGACCCAGGTTTGGTTCCCAGCACCCACATGGCAGTTCCAGGGGATCCAATGTCTTCTTCTGGTCTGTGGGCATTGCATGACACTGACATACTTACACACATGCAGGCAAAACACTCATACACATAAAAATAAATTTTTAAAAGCATAAAATTAAGCCACAATGCTTGTAATCCCAGTGCCAAGGAAGTACAGGCAGGAGGATCATGAGTCCTAGGCCAGCCTGGGCTACACAGCAAGACTTTGCCTTAAAAAAAAATCAAGCCCAAACTCTAGCTTTGTATTTGCATACTATCTAGGGACACAAACAAACATGAATATACAGTATGGTAGTCAAGCACTGCCTCAGAGGAAGTCATACTGGGTGGGGATGTCAATGAGGCTAGCAGACTGATCCAAGAGGCCTCTCTCAGGAGGTGACATCTGTGCAGATTTCTGAAGAAGCAAATCACCTGACATCAGATGCCTGGATAATGCAGCTCTGAAGAGCTGTGAGCCTGGCACTGCCAAGGAAGAGTATACAAGGGTAGAGAGGGCTGGAAAGCAGAGGGTGAAGGAAGAATGTAAAACTGAAAGGCACAGAGGGCCAGGGAGCAGGAAGGTAGCTCTGATGGGGGTTGAGGGTGTGGTCACTGCTGCCAAGCAGTGCTGGAGGCAGGCAGTGCTCTGGAAGTAGTGAAGTAATGTCTGGTTTGGGATCTATCTTGGAGATGGAGCTGGGAGATCTGCTGATAGATCAGATGCAGTGTGAGAGGAAGGAAAGAGGCAAGGTACACACTCCCAAAGGTTTTTCCACACCAACTAGAAAGACAAGAGTTAAGGGGAAAACTGGGTGTGGCAGTTCGGGTTGGGGTAAGGAAAGCCTTCAGTGCCCGGCAGGATTCATCCTGAGTGGAGATAGGCGAGCTGAAGGCTAGAGGTGGACAGCAAACTGATAATGTGGATATTGTAGGCATTTAATTTTTTTTTAACTTCTTGGTGCTGAAGATGGAACCCAGGGAAGCACACCATCAGTCCCACTGTTCACGTTTTAATTCAATAGTCAAACTGGCATTGAAGCCTGAGTCCAGCTGAGGGCGAGGCAGGATGGATCTCTCAGGCAACCAACACCTACCTTCGCAGGAAGTCCCAAGGAGGCTGCGAAGGCGATGCTATTGGGCAGGGAAGTTGAGAGCACAGTCCAGAGGTAAGTGAAAACACTGTTCCCAGAAGGAGCCTGAGTCAGATGTGTCAGGTATGGGTGACAGGTCACAGACAATGGGAACGGAAAGCTTGCCATTGGATTTGGTAGTGACATGCTACTGTCCACCTAGGCTAGAGCTGGTTGCACAACTGCATATCTATCTCTAACTACCAGCTCCTGAGTCACTAGTCTACTTGAGCAAGAAATAATTTTTCCCATTCCTACAGGCCAGTCTTCCCCATAACCAATCTGGAGTCATTGGAGCTACTGTAAGCCCTCAACAGTAGTGCAACAGGGGTTGGGCTCAACTCAGCTGCCTTTTAACTAGCTCAGTAACATTGGATGAGTTACTCAATATCTCTGAGCCCCATTATCTGTAAAATGGAAATAGGAATATCTACTTCATAGCTTCCTTTTTTACTTGTATGCACACATGCATACATGCATGTGGGGGGGGGGAGAAAGAGAGACAGAGACAGAGAGACAGAGATAGAGAGAGACAGAGAGAAACAGAGAGACAGAGACCAGAGGTCAACACCTGGTATCTTCCTCTATGGTTCTCCACCTTATTTTTTGAGACAGAGTCTCTCACTGAAACTGGAGCCCACTGATTAGCTGGAGCTGCCCAGCAAGCCCCTGGGATTCTCTTGCCTCTGCCTCCTAGTGCTGGGATTACAGGTGCATGCCACCACACACAGCACACACTTTTCACACTGAGCCATCTCCCCAGTCCTCTTCATAGTTTCTTCTCATGGTTAAATAAGAAAATGATTCATAAAACATTTAGCATAGAGCCTTTTTAAATAATAGCTATTGGCCGGGTGTGGTGGTGCTCACCTTTAATCCCAGCACTTGGGAGGCAGAGGCAGGTGGATCTTTGGGAGTCCAAGGCCAGCCTGGTCTACATAGTGAGTTCCAGGCCAAAAAGACAAAAAAAAAAGAACAAAAAAATAGCTGTTGCTGTTAAAGGGCTATGGCATAGGTCTACCATATTAACAAGCACACACATCAGCCCTATTTCATTCTTCTAACAGAAATAACCCTCAGTCTAGACAATCACATGTTTAATTATCATCTTCCTTCCCTGATTGGGACACCACTGAGACCCAGAAGTTCCTTCTCCCAGTGGCTCTGTGGTCTGTAAATAAGTTTCAAACAATAAAAGTGACTGCCACTAATTGAGTTTGGGGCTAAAAGATGAACCACATTTCTGCAAACGTTCATAAAGTGGGTCAACTCCCACAGTGTGTTCAGGGAATGTGGTAGGGCTGTTGTGAAGGCCAGGCCTGCTATCTCCAAGGGTGAATGCCTGTCCTAAAGCTTGGAGTGCTGCCCAACCCCACACAGCAGCCCTGCCCAAGGCCCTTCAGATCCTGAGATTCTAACTCCAGAATGCAGCCTGGCCAGTCAATACTTACTCCAACCTGATGGATGCCTCTGAGGAAGTTTTGTCAAAGAGCCACCGGAAGAAAAAATCTAAGCTGAAAATGAAAAAAAAAAAAAAAAGAAAGAAAGAAAGAAAGAAAGCAAGAAAGCAAATGAATCCTATATGAGTTTCTTTGTTTGTTTGTGTCAAGGCATGACCCAGGGACTCACTCATGCTAATCAAGAGCTAACACTTCATGTGATATTGACACATCTTCATTTCCTTTTGCTCTAAAAACAGCCCAAATCCCAAGCTCTTTCTTTGTCCCAGTGACAACATTTACAGTGTGACTCATCAAATATGCTTTAACAGAAACTTCCTTCTTTAAGATAAACATAGCTGTGATTAGACCCTTAGTACAGGGAAAGTCTTCCTAGGTTTTGCTTATAGTCTTTTTTTTTTAAGGATGCTCATCTTTCCACAGGGGAAGATCAGAACAGTTATACCCTAGGTGGGAACAACAGGCTTAAAAGGGGTCAGTGTTTGATCTACTCCAAACCTAGTTCCATTCTCAGAAACAATGCTCTCCAGAGGGGGTTCTCTTCTGACTGGGGAAGGACAGGCAGTGGGGTGTACCTGGTGAGACCAAGGGAGGGCAGGATCAGCACCATGAAGATCAAGAATATGTAGACCTTGGATACCATGATCTGGTTTTCCCCTGACCTGCAGGACAGAAATTAGCAGTTTATTAAGTGTTCCCATAAGGCCCAGCAACGTGCCTGCTGCCCTGGGTAGGGTAAGAGGCATCCTTCCCAGGGAAGGCCCAGACCCTGCTCACCTGGTCCAGTGAGACTCCAGCAGTGTGGAATAGTAGACAACGGATGGGAGCAGCGCAGAGAAGGACCAGAGAAGGAGGGTGGGGAAGAACTGGCTGATGACTGGGTTCTGAAAAACAAGGGCCACCATGGAGGGTTGAGACAGGAGTGGAACTGTGGGACTCAAAAAGACAAAAAAAAAAAAAAAAAGCTGGACTCAGAAGAAGTAAGAATGTAGTTTATGTAAGACAGATAAAAGGAAAACTAACCAGCAGATTCATCCTCAAAAGAACAGGCCTTGTCCCTACATCAAAAGATTGTCAGTCTAAACCAAATTGTGTCATGTGTAATTAAGGTGGTTTGTATTATATATCAAGTCAGATAAGAACTCCTTCAATCCCAAGAGTAATATGACAGGTGATTTAACTTAAGCTTGTATGAAAAACTAAGGCTCAAAATTTATCAGTCAGGGATGGCAAAGCCAGGACAACAGTCCCTGGCCCCAACCCAGAGTGTCTTCTCAGGAGGTGACTGACCAAGTAACAAGCAAAATTATAAAAAATAAAAAGATTCAGGAGGTATTTCATCAATGCTAATTATAAGAAACCAGTATCTTCTCCTATCTACCTTAGCTTTCTGTTGTGTTTTGCTTTGCTTTTGAGACAGGGCAGGGTCTCCTATATGTCACACAGACTGGCCTTAAACTCCTGGGCTCAAGCAATCCTCCTGTCTCAGCCTCTTGGTCATTATCATGCTTGTCCATCTTTGCTGTTTTGAAAACTACTCATTATCTATATCACATAAAATGGCTTTATAAAAATATTATCAGAAACTAAATTATGAAAGAAACCATTCACAATACTGCCACCCCAGCCAACAAAGCTCTTTTCATTGTTTCCTGTCCCTTTTGTCCCCTCTGTTCTACCAACCATATTTACGTATTAGAACTGTTGTGCAGAAACAATTCTATATTCTACTGTTTTGGTTGGTTGTGTTTTTTGTTGTTTATATATATACTGGTCTTTTTGAGACAGGGTCTCCCTGTAGCCCCAGCTGGTCTGGAACTCCCTATGTTGACCAGGTTGGCCAGCTCACAGAGATCTGCCTACCAAGTGCTGGGCTTAAAGGCATGCACCACTATGCCCGGTATATTTTTTATAAATTTTTAAATTCATTTTTAAATTTTATATGTATGAATGTTTTGCTTGTGTGTATGTAAGTGCACCCATGTGTGCAATGTCCAAGGAGGCCAGAAGAGGATGTCAGATTCCCTAGAACTGAAGTTATGGATGGTTGTTAGCTGCCATGTGGGTGCTAGGAACCAAACCCAGGTTCTCTAGAAGAGCAACCAGTGCTCTTAACCACTGAGTCATGTCTTTAGCCCCTGGTTGGCTTTTGAAAAGATTTGTTATTTATTTATTTATTTGTTTGTTTATATTTGTGTGTGTGCGTACACACATTTGTGTGTAAATGCATATGTGTGCCTACATGAATTTATGTGCAACACATGCATGTAGGTGTAAAGGCCAGAGACAATCAGATCCTCCAGAACTAGGAGTTACAGGTGGTTGTGAGCCACCCAATTTGGGTGTTGAGAACCTGGGCCCTCTGCAGGAGGGGCTCTAAACTGCTGAGTCATCTCTCCAAGGCTGGTTGGCTGGTTTTGAGACAGGATCTCACTCTGTAGCTCAGGCTGGTCTTAAACTTCCAGCAATCCTCCTGCCTCTGCCTCCCAAGTACTGGGCTTACAGGCAAGAGCCACCATACCAAACTCTGCATTCTGCTCTTATTATAAGCAATCACTATGCAATTTCTAGTAAAGGTTTCATATTCTGTCAGACTAAATGTATCTCATTCAACTCAAATGATCTTTCCTGTTGAGCATTTAGACTGATTCCATTAAATAAATATATATTGCATTACCATATGGCACAATAATAAATGTCACCATCTCTGCTTGGGGACTTAAATGGGCTAGGGAGGGCTCAGGTGGGTACCAAAACTTGCTGTGCAAGCATAAGGATCTTAGTTCAAATTCCCAGCAACCCACATAAAAAGCCAGGTGTGGCCATGCCCATACCCATAACCACAGCACTGTGGTGGAGGCAGGGAGTGGAGAGGAAGCTCACTGCACATGCTGGCTGCTAGCCTAGCACCAGGTACAGTGAGAGACCCTGTCTCAAAACAATAGGCAGAGAGGAAAAGAGCACATATCCAAATTCCTCTTCTGGTTTCTGCATGTGTACAGGCAGGCACATATACATACACAGTGTACATACACTATATACATACACACAACACACACACACACACACACACACACACACACATACACACAGGGAAAACATGAGCTGAGTGGCCTGGCCCCCTGCTTCAGCCTCCCCCCAACCCCATGCCTCAGCTCTCATTGTTCCCCACCTACCACCCTCTTCTGCTGGCTCTACCAAAGGGTCCTGCAAGTTGATCACTCACATTCAGTGCATGGATGGGTTTGGTGACATTGAACTTGTCCATTGTAGACAGAATGATGGAGGGTGTAGTCAGGAAAAACAGCACCAGAAACAGAGTGAAGTTGATGCCCAGCCACTGCAGCCACCAGCGAAGGCCCTGGACAGAGAGGTTCTTCCTGCAGGGGATAACACCAGCCAAGAGGCTTATCTCCCAGGCACAGGCCATCTGCAACACCAGCAGTGCCCACAACTGAGACATGTCAGAAAGTCAGCTATAGGGAGGCCAAGAGACTAGGCTATAGCTAGTTTGGGCCTTAAGAGCAAAGGCAAATTTTCTACACTATCCTTCAGCTACAGGAAGGCCAAGTTTCAGGTCCCTGAACCCAGAAGGAAATAGCTGTCAGTGCTGATGTAAACTACCCAGAGGGGCCACAGACACGCATGCTGTCCAGGGAAGGCTCCAGCATGACCTTTCTTGCACAGCTCAATGTTTTGTGACTAATGACACATTCCTCAGCTGGGGCCATGGACTGGAGTACAGGGAGCACAGGCAGAGCTGGGCCTGACCTGGCTCTTCAACCCACCAAAACAGACCCACACACCAGCCCCAGTTCTGAGAAACCCTGTGAACCAGAGAGCAAACTGTCAGGCTGAACTCAAATGAAACGGAGACAAGCATGTAAGATTTACTCCACCCAAGAAACTGAGGAGGCTCTGTCCAACAGGTAGCATGTGGGGGTGCTGCCAACCTCAGTGTGGGCTGCAAATCTCACCCAAGGCCTACGGACATGGCTCAGCTCACCAGCGTGACCTCAGCTCCATCTAGGACTGTGAGGTCTAACATGGTAGCCACCATGTGGCTACCGAACACTTGTGGTATGGTGTTCTGAGCTGAGAGGTGTTAGAAAATATAAAAAAAATAACAGATTCAAAGACTAAATATGAAAGGGAAAGTATAAACACAAGCCTTGATTTCATTAAAAAAAAAAAAGGAAGTGCTACATGTTAAAATGTTAACATTTGGGGTATGAGAGATTTATTAGTAAAATTAATTTCAATCATTTCTTTTTCTAACATGCTACTAGAAATTTTTTTATTACGTACATAGTTCACATTGAATTTCTGTTGGACAGCATCTGAATGCCAGGGACTAACAGTTGGGGAAGGCGCAGACTCCTCTGCTAGAACATACCAAACACATCACAACACCAGGCCCTACCTATGTAGATGGCCACTGAATTCCAGGCCACATCTACACTCCAGGTGACCAGGCAACCCCACCAGGAACCCAAGTCTCTCCCACACTTCCCCACCCTGGGAGCTCACCAGCAGATGTCCTCAGGGTAAGAGGCGAAGGTGATGGTCCACTTAGCGACGCAGAGCTCTCTGCTGTAAGAGGATGGTTGAGGCTCACCTCTGCACCAAAGGCCCTGGCATTTGCAGGCATTAAAGTCTTTCAGGATGCTGTCAGGAAATGCAGAAGACATCAAAGTGCAGCTCACCCAGGTTCCACATAATACCCAGCAAATTCAGGCACCGTAAGAGTGGGAGCCTCATAGGGTAGGGTGTCTGCCCCGTTGTTACTATCTTATTATAATTAATGCTAAGAAACACCCACCTGCAATCCCAGCACTTGAGAGGTTGAGGCATGAGTATTCAAGGCCAACTGAGGCCACACAGTGAGTTTCAAGTCAGTTTGAGCTATATAATGAGACACTGTCTCAAACACATCAAAAAGAAAGGTGCTGTGCTTGGCACACTAGGGAGGGTTTTGCATCCTTACAACAATGCAAGCAATGGGTTGCTATCCCATGTCCCATTTACTGAGGTACACCACATTAGGTTTAGCATCCCCAACTGTCTGTCTCCTATGTGCATATTGTCTTCACTGCCCTACCACAGCAGGCCTCCAAGCCCCACCCCCATACCTGCTTGTGACACTAGAACTGACCCGACACCAGCCCAGTGGCTCCACCTTCCCAACCTTCACTTTGTCCCAGGCCACATTATACGCTGCCCATTCCCAAATTCCTCTCCCAAGACTCCCACCCCACCATCACTATCTCAGTCTTCTTTCTCCTCTGGCCTCCCAAAAAGAAACCAATGGCCCCTTTGCTGCTCCACTCTGAAGCAACAACTCCTATGGAGAGCATTCCAGAGGCTGTCTCCAGAGTGACCATAGGCAAGGCAGGGAACGCATCCCTCCCTAATGCTCTCTAATCCCCTAATGTTCTAAGGTGAGGCAACACCAATGTCCTAGGCCTGAGAGCACCTTGAGAGCTTGCAGCTGCAGGCTCCTATAGCTCTGAGCATCCAGAGTGCCCCATGGTCTCCCCATAGCTTTCCATTTCCATTTGTCAATGAACAGAGGAGGACCTTGGTTCCAGAGTTTCCATCAAGCTGACAGAATGCCGCACACAGAAGCAGCAGGATGGATTGCTTGGGCAGCAAGTGAGAGCCCGACAGTGGGACTGGACCACATCATCCTGGCAGGAATCAGCAAGGACCATGCAATGCTCAGCCCCACCAGCTGTCATCAAACACGGCCGGACTCCCTCAAGAGGCGAGGGCAGTGTGTCTCTATTCAAGAGAGATAGCAAGCGATCTTATGGGGGTAAGAGGGTCAGCCACACTCACTAGGTAGCCATGGACTTCTCACGGAAGGTGACAAAGGCCATTCCTAAGGGCTGATCCTGGACCCGGCACTGTTCAACTGTGATCCTCTCTTGTAGACTTTCATTCATTCGAGTGTAGTAAGAGATAGCATCTTCCTAAGGGAAGACACAGGCCCTGGGTGATGTGACCCTGAGCAAGTAAGTATCAGGGCACCCATGCCTATCCCCTGCTCCTGGCAGGCAGCAGCACCTCACCCGCTCACAGCCCTGCACTTCACAGCAACAGAACTGGCCACAAGGCTTGGGATTAATGAGGGTCAGTCGGCCTGTCTTCGCCCGTAGGTTCGTATAATAGGTCAGGCTCTTTTCAGTCTTCTTTCTGTAAGGTGGGAGTGGAGTGAGGCAGGCACAAACTCAGGCTTATGATCCCAGAGCACAGCTCCATGACACAGTCAACCACCAGTCAGCAGAGTGAAGAGCTCAGTTTTGTGAACAGAAAAGCACAGGCCCACCGTTCTCCCTTCCCAGCTAAAGGGTGTCAGAAAGGAAGCAGGTGAGCATAACAAGGGCTGGGGAAAGCTGCAGGCCAGCTGAATCCGGCCATCCACCTCCCTTACCTCTCTCTGCACAGGTACATCAGCTTGGCCACACTGTAGCACAGTTGGACATCCACCACCTCGCACGTGGGATATGCATCCCTGTGGCCAGCAGAGCCGGGGCAAAAAAAGCCATTGAGAAAGAACATCCCCTCAAGAGTGACCACCCCACACACCCCTGGATGGTAATCATGCCACTGCTGACTCTGCATTAGCAAAGACCCCTTTTCTCTTTGTCTCTTACTCTCCAAAGAAAGGAAAATTTGAAGTTTAATACAAAAAGACTGTGTGTATGTGTATGTCTATGTGTCGCTAGGGATGGAACCCACAGCCTTGTACATGTTAAGCATGGGCTCTATCACTAAGTTACATCTCTAGCCCTGAAAGTAGTTCCCTGAAACTGATGTTTATTCACTCTTGGCTTTCAGTCAGCTGGCACTTCTCATTGGGGAAAATGAGTTGAGTATGGCTTGTTAGGTTCCTGACAGACTCCTAAAACAGTGGCACAACTCCCAATATTCTAAAATGGTAGGTCTGGACTTAGCCCCAGGCAAGTCCCTCTGCTTATTGGGAGACCAACCAATCCTAAGCTAAACTGCCCAGCCTACGTCATGGCAGCTGACTGCCTATAAAAGATGTCTGACTTCCCCTGCTGGTTGCTGTTTCTCTGCTCCCTAAGAGGCAGCCCAGCGGTCTATTTGCTCTCAAATAAACCGCTGTCCCCCATGGAGTTGTCTGGTCAGTGGTCTTCACTGCCTGCTTCCCTATATGGCTCAGTGGCAGAATACTAGTGTACATAAGATCCTGGGTTCCATCTCCAGCAACAAAAAGAAAGAACTCCATTAACCTCTCTCACCACCTCCAGATCCCAATAAGAGCTTGGAGGAGGCCTGGAGATATGGCTCAGTGACAGAGCCTTTGTCTAGCAAGATTTGATACTCAACACCAGTTGTATTATATTTTAAAAGAGTACATTAAATTGGGTGGGAGGTAGTGGGGGGAGGTGTGGATCTAAGGGGACGGGATCTAAGTACCACCCAACTATATTGCATGAAAATCATAAAAATTCAATTTAAAAAAAAAGAGAGAGAGAAGAGAAGGCTTTGAGGAAGAAATTCCCAGTGAAAGTGCCCCTGTTCCAAGGCAAATCCAACATGTCCATTGTCCTGGACTGCCCCAGCCTTCCCTATGAAGGCTTCCAAAACACGGAAACTGTGAGTAACTCAATGTTCCCATGAGAATGAGGGCACTTGTTTTTCTGTTTAAGTGTGTGCATGAAGTGGACCTAGTCTTTCCTAATGTTGCCTGGTGGGCAACTCGGGAAGTTCTCTCAAGAAATAGGGAAAAAAGTATTCCAGTATCAAATGTATATATAAGTATTTCTAGAATAGAAATACAGCTCAGTCAATTCATTTTAAGTTCTGTTTGTACTAATTATTTGCCTATTGCTTTCTTTATAAACTGCATAAAGTTCATCTGTAGCCAGCTCCTAGTGCTTGCTAGAACTCAAGGATGGCAGCATTGACAAGGAACAAAGAGATCACAACACCTCCGTCCTGGAGTGGCCTCGCAGTCCTCCAGCTGGAAGCCCTGAAGCTTGCCTCCAGCAGCTCCTTTTATAGGAATTTAACCTGTCTTTCCCTGTGCTGTGGCTGTGTGCATCCTCTGCCTCCACCTGTAGGAGCTATTGCCACTGAGGTTCTGCTGGGCCCTGAATGGCCAGAGGCTTCCTTCAATAGACAAGATTCTTGAGCCTAGAGTAGCTTTGCAAGAAAGCTTGGCTCTCAGCCTCCAGCATGAACCACTTGCACCTGTACTGGAGCCTGCTTTCTGGACCCTGGGTCACAAGGTTTTAGTCACAGCTGCTGCAGAGGAGGGCTGGAGATATGGCTTAGTGATAGAGTCTTTGTCTAGCAAGATTTGGTACTCAACACCAGCCCCAGCAGGGATGCACCTGGCAGCCTGTGGCAGAGTGGGTCCCTTTTGGAATCCCCCCTAAACACCCAAATAAAAGACACAGGGTGTCCACTTATAGCTTGGTCTCAGGGGCTCAGGCCTCTGCCAGCCCTGTTCACCACAAGTAGCTCTACGGGGCCTTTCTCTTACCGAAAGTGGCTCTCCACAGTCTCCTTTCTGGCTTCTCTGGGGAGTCCTGTGATGAATAGAGTCTGTCTTGCCTGCCAGAGAACATATCATAAAGTCATAAAGATAGGTCATAGGGGTGATGGGCAAGGCAGGTGTCATCTCCTTCACAGCACCAGAAAGAAAACCATGATTTTTCTGGTTTTCATAAAAGGCTCAGGTTTTCTCATCCTTAGCTTGGAGAGCCCTCAGGGGAGAGAGGAGTGGTTATTTACACTGCATCCTCTTCCAAAGCAACTCCTGAGCCTCCTTTGCAGGGTAGTGACTGAGAAAGAACCCAGAGAGGGACACCAGCTCAAATGGAGACACACAGCAAAGCTGAGAAGGACTAGTCCTGGAATCAAGTCATAGGAAGAGGAACCCATCCTCAACCTAAACTGTCTTAGGTTAGTGGGTGGAAGTGCGGATTCGTTTTTATTGTCAACTTGACACAGCCTAGACTCACCTGGGAAGAAGGAACCTCAAGTGAGGAATTCTCAGATCAGATTTGCCTGTGGCCATGTCTATGAGATATTGTCTTTTTTTTTTTTCTTGAGGCAGGGTCTCACTATGTAGCCCTGGCTGGCCTATAATTCACTATGTAGACCAGGCTAGCCTTGAACTCACAGAAATCAGTCTGCCTTTCCCTCCTGAGTGCTGGGACTAAAGGCAAGTGCCATCACACCCATTCAAGAGATTATCTTGATTGATGATGGATGTGGGAGGGCTCAGCCTGATGTGGGCAGCACCATCTCTAGGGAGCATGAGCCAGGAGTGATCCAGTGAGTGGAGTTCCTACATGGTTCCTGCTTCAGTTCCTGTCCTGACTTCTCTCTCTGCTGGACTGTGACTTATAAGTGTAAGCTGAAATAAGCCCTTTCTTTCCCTAAGTTGCTTTGGGCTATGGTGTTTATCATAGCAAAAGAAAGCAAACTAGAGTGGGGGTGGGGGTATCAAACTCAGTGATTGGCTCATGTCAGACAAGGACTGCACCACTGAATTACACTCAGTCCTCAACCTTCTCTTTACTTCACAGCAGCAGCTACAATCCCAGACCCTACAGATCAAATAGCAATTTGGCAAAATGGAAAGAAAATGTCCAAATTACAATCCACCACCAAGTAATTAAATAATGATGATAAAGATAATAATAATTAATAATAATAATAAGATGAGCATGGTGGTTCATGCCTATAATCCTAGCGCTTGGGAGGTAGAGACAGGACAACCAGAAATCCATGGTCCTCCTTGGCTATGTAAAGCTACTTCAAAATCAGCCTTGGTTACATAGGATCTGTGCTGGATAGCTTTAGTGTCAACTTGACACACCTGGGTTGAGGGAACCTCAATCGGGGAATTGCCTCTATTGGACTGGCCTGTGGCCATGTCTGAGGGGCATCTTCTTGATGAGTGATGTGGGAGGGCCAAGCCCACTGTGGGTGGTGCCACCCCTGGGCAGGTGGGCCTGTGTTGCATAAGAAAGCAGACTGAGCAGGAGCCCAAGCCTGTATGTAAGCAGCGTTCCTCCATGGCCTGTGCTCCAGCTCCTGCCTCCAATTTCCTGCCCTGAGTTCCTAACTTGGGCTCCCTGATGAACTGCGTGTGACCTGGGAGATGTAACCCTTTCCTCCCCAACTTGGTACTGGTCAGAGTGTTTTGTCACAGCAATGAAGAACAAACTAAGACAGGATCCTATCTCAAAAAATTAGTGATGATAATGGTGGTGGTGGTGGTGGAGGTGGGATGATGATGATGTCAGGTGAAAGCATAAACATGCAAATCAGGTTCTAGCACCCCTCCCCAAGCTAACTGCTGATATGGTCCTGTAGCATAGGTCTAGGATGCTGTTCCCTCCAGTTCCCACTTGACCCCCCTCTCAGCAGGTCCCAGGCCCCAGCCTCACTCACCAGGCTCTCCTCTTTGTACCTGATGGACCGTGTGTGATGCCACATGAAGCCCACAGTGAGGAGTAGATAGATGACGGAGAAGACAGTGTGCAGCCAGAGGAGGTCATTACTGAGGAGAATATTACCTGCCATCAGGGCTGGGCACCCAGACAGCAGACTTGGGGTACAGGACTAGGGTTGGTTCATCCATACTAGGCACTTTGCCAAGGAGCTAACGGCTCCTTCACAACAGATGACCCCAACAGAGGCCATATGGCTAGTGCTCCTTATCCAATAGTAAATACTTTGGAAAGATTCCTGTCCTGACATGGGGCTCTAAGTCTCCTGAAAAACAGCCACTGACTAAGATATATTCACACTAGAGCTCAGCAACATAGCAGCTCTGAGGGGTCTCCAGACATTGGCCTGCTCTGGGCTCCCAAATCAGTCTGCATGTCAACACCCTTCTAGTCTTAGTTACAGGCTCCATACTCACTCGGTCTGCAGGTTTGCTATTGTTGTCCTCCCAAAACTGTAAGGGTCTTTGTCTGCAGAAAAACACAGACACTTAGTTCCAGGGTCATAATGAGGAATCTAACAGGCCTTGGTTTATGGAGCTCTGAGGAGGCACAGCACAAGATGCCCAGGCCAGTCAGAAGGCAATGACATCATCTAACAGTCTATTTGATGTTCCATCAACCAGGACCTCTGCCTGATTGCAGGATGCTCCCTGACGCCTTACCAGTTTACCATGCCAGCAAAGTCAGAATTTAAATTCATTTTGTACTGAGATTTTTTTTTTAAGGTACTTTGAGAAAAACTAGAAGCAGCCTACATTTTTAACAACAACAACAACAAAAAGTTGAGAACCACTGGATGCAGCAAGAGAATCTCTGATGGCATTTTAGAGGCTGTGATTCAGAATCAGTCAGACATGTAGGTCCATGAATAATGGCTTCCTGGTTTAGGTGAGGGCAGGAAATTGAAAAAAAAATACTTCCTGAAACCAGGGTTAGTAGCCATATTTATAATCTCAATACTCAGGAGACTGAGGTGAGGCTAGCCTGGGCTACATGGTAAAACCTTGTCTCAAAAACCAAACAAACAAAAAACAAGTACTTGCTGAAATCTCATGATTCTATAACCCTTGTGATTAGTTTGTTTTTCTCTATTTAAATTGAACAAATATAGATAGTAAGGGCCCCAGCTCTCAGCCCAGAGTTGGATGGATTCTCCTCTAGATCTTTACTTAGGACAGTCCCCTCCTCCCAGACTGTCTCATATCTGAATTAAGGCCTGATTCCCAGGGTCTGCTCTACCAAAATGAGCCCCTTTCCCCAGAGCCACTTCCCTGCTCTATCCCAACACAGACAAAGGCAAGAAGGGGCCTCACCCAGTAAGTCTCCTGAGAGGTTGACAGGCAGGATGACACACAGGGACAAGAAGCTGACCACCACCAGCAGGAAGATGATGTGCCTCTGGAAGGACAGGTAGTGGATGGCATCCTCCCCACACCACTCCAGGATCTGGTCATCACTGCCCAAGACACACACAGAGAAGAGGCAAAGGTAAAAGGCCAGGCCCTCAAGGCCTTGCAAGGAATACTCATCCTCCTGACAGTCAAAGAAGATGGGGTTTCTTTCTATCTGTCTTCCTTTTCTTTGACATGTGTGGATACAAAGTCACAGAAAAACTGCACAGCTTTCAGGACCACACAGCTGGTAACAGCAGAGTCCCATCTTCAGTCCCACTCTGTACTCTCAGCTAAGGAACTGCCATCCTCTGGATTCTGCTGCTAGAAACATTTGTACTCTCACTATGTAATGGGTGAGAAGTGTGGTTAAAACTCTCCCACAGTCCCTTCTTGCTTCCATGTCAAGATGGCTGCTGAGAGCCACATTGAGAATGTAGTGGAGTATGCTCAGGGCCTCCCTCCCAACCTGTTCCCTCTGCCCCTGGGGTGGGCTGGCAGAGTGAGGCAAGTCAATGTTTTGAACATTCTGTCTCATTTCATCAAACTATTCCACTCTCTCCCTGTGTCCCTGCCATAGTCCCAGAGATGGTGAGGTGACCTGCTCCACCTTCCCACCCACAAGGAATCCCTTGATCAGTTGGAAAATTCCAGGCTCACAACAATCAGATTTTCTTGCTGTAGAGGGAAGACAGTCAGGTGTTCTACCCATTCTTTCCCATTCTACATACAGGGAGGGATTTCAAGGCCCCTGCTCCAGAGCCCAGGAAAATTCCGTATGGCAAACTCTGGGGAAGCCAGCTCAGAAGCATAACAAGGTAGGTCTGCATGGCCCAGTGTGGGCTCTGCATCAGGCATGCCACCACAGACTCAGCTCAGCCACCTTCGAATGGACTCAGAGGAACTGCCCATTTCCCACCTCATCCACTCAGCACAGCTCAAGGATACAGTGAGCATGAAGCACTTAGGACTGCATCAAACTTCTGAAGATATTCACAGATATGCTAGTGAGCACCATGCCTGCTGGCTGCATATTCCAGAATGAGCTTTGTGATGAGCACCTTTTCGCTTCTAAGTAACACACCTGCACCCACTCCTACTTCAAGATAGTTGACTGTCTTCTCCCTGTGACTCTGTTTAATGCCATCAACTTCAGGTACAACTCCCTCCAAAGTCCAACTCAAATTCAGTTGGAAAATTTGAGGCCCTGAGAAAGAAACTTACTCAATATCCCCAAACTAGTGTATCTCATCAATTCTGTGATGCCTTTTTCTTTTATGTCACATAAACTGATTAAAGCTTTTTCTTTCTTTAGGTAGGAATTATTCCACTTAATATTTAAGACTAACTAGATAGAGACAGAATTTATGAGGCAGGTTTATGTGCATTGGAATGAATGAGAAGTGGAGAAATAAAATTTGTGCAGCTAAGAGCTGGGGATAGAGTTCAGAGGTAGAGCACTTCCCATTGGGTAAAGCCCTGTGTTCAATCCCATATCCTTATATTCATCTCATTTGGTTCAAAGTTCTCTTTTTTCCTTGTATTCAAAATTTGGATCTTTGGAGAGAAATTTCAAAAGAGGTGCCTGGTCATAAAGACCCGGTCAGTCACCTCTCCTGCACTGGAAGAAGGCAGGCCTCAGGGACTGCAGATATCTTGGCTCTGTCACCTGCTGCTGTATGCCACAAAGTCTACAAAGCCATCATTGTCAGATGCATGTCATTACATGTCATACTACAAATGTACTGCCAGCTAAGCTACCATTGGCTAAAACTACAGAGTATACCCCATTTCAGAGAAGTTGAAATATGGAAGAAGAGGGTGTTTTAAAATGGATTAAAGAGGGAGCTAGAGAGATGGCTCAGCAGTTAAGAGCACTGGCTGCTCTTGCAGGGGACCTGGGTTTGAGTCCCAGCACCCACATGGCAGCCAAAACCATCCATAACTCCAGTTCCAAGGGGTCTGATGTCCTCTTCTGACCTCCGAGGGCACTGCATGACATGGGTGCATGTACATACATACAGACAATATATTCATGCATGTAAAATAAAAATAATAAATAAAATATTTTTTTTAAAAACTGATGAAAGACAGAATCTACCCAACTAAAAAAAGGTGGTGGAAGAGGCTTGGCCAATTCATATGAACTAATATGTGAACGCTCAAGTTGTAAATGGTGGAGGTTGGTGGGAGCTGTGCCAGAGAGGACCAGCAAGAGGTAGTCATGTGGTGAAGCCAGTGAACTCTGACATGGAGCAGGAGGAAACAGGAAACGGTATGGCTTGTTTTAGAATAATTTGAAATTTCCTTGAAATAAAGCTTATCACTACCATCAAGAACCTTTGGGATCCAACTGTAATAGGAATAGCCCTGAGCCCTTGCATGAATGTGTACCCCAAAAGTATCCTAAAGGCCTCCTTCTTTCCCATGCCCGGACTCTAGGAGCCTCCCAGCCACTTTTGTTCCAATCCCTTCATACTGCTTGGGACCTGAACTGAAGAATATCTCAAATGTCACCTCAGGATCAAACGTCTCAGCTACTTCCTCCTGATTGGCCAAACACCCAAACAAATCCACCTGCCCCAGCAGCCACCCCTAGTTTACTCACTGAAGATGGAAGATGGCAGTCAGCCAAGGGCAGCATCCCTGGAGACAGAGAACAGGCATTAGCATCCAACGCCTGTGACCTTCGGAGGCAGACGCAATCATCATCTTTGAAATTAAATAACCATTCCACTTCTTGCTATATAAAACAATTTTCCCCATAGTCAACAAGTTACCCCTTATCCCAAACACGGCAAAGTCTGCATGTTTTCATCCTTTGCAAGATGCAACCCCATCTAGATGCCTGGAAGACTCGCTGAAACGTCTCAAGTTTTGACATTACACAAGCTCTAGGGTCAAATCACAACACTTTGATCAAGAGCTGGGAAAAGAGAACTGAGGATGTAGCTCCGTGGTAGAGCATTTACATAACATATGCAAGGCCCTAGGTTCAATCAGAAAAGAACTAAGAGTTGGGAAAAGTGATGTGGACTCCTGTGTAATTATTTCCAAATGGCCAAAGAAGAGACGAGAAAAAAGACAGGGAACAAGTCTAACAACTAGATGGTGCCCCAGAGCAGGACTTAGAGAGGGAAAGGACTATGTGTAGGTTCTGTGATCATTCATGTCGTTTAAATTTAACACTCCATAAAGCTGGGCTGTTACCTAGCTGGGAAAGACAAATATTTGTTCATCCTTGGTTCAACAATGACTAAGTAGCTACTAGATATCTGGAGCTGGGGAACAGGGCTCATTGAGGCAAAGTTCCTGCCCAGGTATGGCTCAAAATCTAGCAGACAAGTCAATAATTAACTATTACACAAAACCCAGAAGAGTAAGAGACAAGTAAGGCATGGGTGTTAGAGACAAGTGCTGGTAAAGCCTGGGGAATCCACAGCCCCTTCTACCTACAAGGTTAATCAAGTCTCGCAGTATGGGATCATTGACTGCCATCTCCAAATCCATGTGTTTCTGTTCAAGTGGAGGGGAGCTTTCCCCAGGGCTGGTCACTCAAGGACCACAGTGCTATGTGAGTCACTGAATCCAGAGTAAATGAAGACACCCATCAATCATTACTGCCTATCTCTATCCACTGCCCCTCAGACTAAAGTAACAATCATCCCTTGGATACCAACCAGCTCATTTTCAAAGTCTTGTTGACCTGAGGAAGAAGTCGATGACAGTCTCTGGAATCTGGCCTCACTAGAGACACAAAAGGAAAAAAAAAAAGATGAATAATTCTAAAAATAAAGAAGGTTAAAAACAAATACATGTCTGGTATTTTCTGCTTAATCTTAGAGTTCAGGATCAAAGCTGTCTATTCTCAATAGCTGGGGCAATATAAACTGCTCCAAAAAAAAAAAAAAAAAAAAAAGATGGAGGCAATGCCCACAGCATGCACACATGGAGGCATTTGTTGTATGGGATGAATAGCACAGGGCCAGGGCATCAAGGGACCACCCCTGTGTGTACACCCTCCAACCTCAGCACTACAACTGATCTACCTAAAGAGACTTCAAAGTGTGGCTTGTCTATAATGTAGTTCCTAACATATCGAATAAATTTGGAATGCTAGATTTTATTCTCCCATGGTGACCAGAATGGCAGGTAATTGGGGGTCCATTCCAGAGAAACAGCCTGAGAAAGAGTGGCCATAGGAACAGAAGGAAGCAGGTGCACAAGTTACCTACTCCCAACCCAGGAAGCAGTAAGGAAAAGTAAGAATACTTGCAAGGCCTCATCACTGAACTAGGTCCACATTAACATACCACACACACACACACACACACACACACACACACACACACACTGTATTCTATCTAAGATACCAGTGGTTGTCGGGTGCATAATTATGTTAATGAACCACTAAGAAAGAAACAATGCTTCCAATTAAACTATAAGCACCATTGATAATAATCTCATGCTAGACACGGTGGGTGCACATCTGTAGTCTCAGAATTCACTGCAAGACTGAAGCAGAAGCAGCCCAAGCTCAAAGAAGGCCAACTTGGGAGACTTTGTCTTTTTTTTCCAGTCTTTTTAAAAAAAATACTTTATTCGGCCGGATGTGGTAGCATACTCCTTTAGTCCCAGCACTCGGGTGGCAGAAGCAGGCAAATCTTTGTGAGATCGAGACCAGCCTGGTTTATATAGCATGTGCCAGGCCCACTGGGGCTACAGGGAGACCCTATCTCAAAGACCAAAAACAAATTTATTCATTATTTTTATTTTATGTGTCTGAGTATATTGCTTGCATATGTGTAAGTGCACCTGTGTCACCCATGGAAGTCAGAAGAAGGCATCAGATCCCCTGGAACTGGAATTATGGACAGTTGTCTTCTGGGAATCGAACCTGGGTCCTCTACAGGAGCAGCCAGTGCTCTTAACCACTGAGCCATCTCTCCAGCCCCGGGAGATTTTTTTTTTTTTTTTTTTTTTTTTGTCTTTTTGAAACAGGCTCTCCCTGTAGCCCCAGCTGGCCTGGAACTCACTATGTAGACCAGGTTGGCCTTGAGCTCACAGAGATCCACCTGTCTCTGCCACCCAGCAGAGACTTTGTCTTTAAAAAATAAAAAAGGAAAAGAAAAGATGCATCCTAATTCCAAAGATCAGAAAATGCTAAAATGTACATCTCAGAGTAGATGAACTGTTCTATTAAATATCGAGGCCTTTTGTGTATGTTCATGTGTATACAGAATGATGCGAGTATGCTTGCACATGGGTGCTCTCATATGTGGAGGCCAGAAGTCAGCACATAGCATCTTCCTCAGTCATCCTTTGTCATCGTTTTTGAGACAAGAGTCTCTCACTAAACCTAGAGCTCAATAACTTGGCTAGGTTGAATAATACACGTTACATTGGTAAATTCTCATGTGCTGTTTAAGTTCACTGAGAAGCTGGATCTGGAAGTGGGGTTGCCAACCCTACCAAATGCCGCATTTCAGACTCAAACATGTTTATCTCAAAGTGTCCTTCATCATCTATTGTCTGGAGATGGGCTGTCCCCAGTTCTGTGACAGGAAGGGAAGAGAACAGCAAAACAGCCCAAGAGCAAAAACATTGTGTCCTTGAGAACAGTTGGCAGGTGAACCATTTCCAACAGAAGTTATTATTGTTTATCCTGGTATAAAAATGTCTGTAGTGGGAATGGTTAGCCAGAAGTTCAGCCATGGGAAGCTCATCCGTGGAGAGAAAGCTCAGTCAAGAACTCCAGCTGACTGTCTCAACTTCCCCAGTCGATTTCTCCCAAATATTTGTAAGCCCCTTATTTGATGGTGCTGCCTTTGTTACCGTTGTACCTCCTCAATCAGAGTACTCCAGCTGTCTCTGCTGGCCATTTAAGAGCTTCATTTGATGGTGTTTGGCTAGACATCTGCTGCATCTATCTATCTGCTACTTGCTATTCTTTTATTTTTGATTGCTATATACGTAAAAAACTTGTTAATTCAAAACCAAAAGTACAGCTATCACAGATCATTCTCCCAGACCATATGAAACAGACTGGCCAACCAGTGAGACCCAGGGGCCCTCCTGCCTCTGCCTCCCTAGAACCAGGATTACTGATAGGCACAACCTTGCCAGGCTTTTTAATATGGGTGCTGGGGATAGAACTCACATCCTCATGCATGCACAGCAAGCACTGAGCCATCACCCCAACCTATATTTGGCATCTTGATCAAGTCCTTTCTTCTGAGTCCCCTATAAAATGCCCTGGGCACTATGAATCGGAGGTGTTTACATGTGAACCCTTGCCTGTCCCCTACTTTGACTGCACCATCCCACTTCTAATAGCATGAACACTACTGCAAACTTTCACAACTGACACAGACACCGTGTCATGTGTTCCTCAGTCACTGTGAAGAAGAGAGGACAAGAGACCGAGTCTAATCACTCTAGAGACTTGACCAAGGCCACACAGCAGGCAGGTGGTAGGGCCTCCTCCACTCACACTCTGTAGTACATAGCTCAGCCCCTCCCCAGACTGACTATAATGTGAAGATATCAGATGTCCTGTCCCAATACCCTCCTACCCCAGGGTCAATTCCAGTGGCCCAAGGGCATCACTTCAGCTTCTGAAAATGCTGTAGTGCTGACATGGGGAAGGAAGGTACACTTGGAAAGTTGCCACCTCTGCCCCAGAAGATCCACCATCCAACAGTCCCAGTCAACAGGGGCCTGAGCATGGTGGTCCTGCCTCAGAACCCAGGGGAGGCTGTGGGAGGGTGGGCAGTGGGGGCCCTGACTTCACCTATTCTCCTATTCTCCTATTCAGGCTGCCACATCTGACACAAGTTCCAGAGGTGTGTAACAGCCAGCTAGAGCAGGAAAGTCTGGTTCTAGAATTCATCTCCACCTTAGCTGAAGTACACAGCACTGTCCCCACCCAGGGTGGAGCTGGAAGGGCCTGCGGTCTGGCCAGGGAGCCTGTGTTTTTTTTAATAGGCTGTCCAAAGCCAGACCTGACCAGGAAGGAAAGTAGGAAGCTTCCACGGCTGCCTCCCTTCTTAACCCACCTCAGCCAGCAACAGCCCAGGTTGATGAACTTCAAAGATGTGACCAAAGATGTAACTCAGAGGTGACCAAGGTGAGAAAAAAAATGGCACCTTCCTCAGCTGGTGGCAAAAACTCTAAAAGCAATGAAGGTCCTCCACAGCCTGAAACCAGAGCCCTAGGACAGAGTATACGTCCAAGCAGTAAGACCTCACGTGCATCTGCGGTGACCAGTACAGAGAAGGGCACAGCTTCAGGCACAGTCCTGGCTCCAGCCCATTCCAATGGCACACATACATGCACATTTATACATATATGCATACACAAATACACATGTACACATATGTAAGCATACATATATATGTATGCATTTTATACATATACACTCACACTTAGATGCACAGACATACTCTAGGTAAAAATTATTTTTTACCTGCCTGCTTCTGACACCAAGGCAATTCGGCCATAATCCCAGAATCTTCTTCTTATGATAGAAAACACCAAGATTAAAAACTGAAAGTAGAAAAGAAACCAAGTTAAAAGTATATTGGCTGGGCTATAGGGTCAATCAGACTGGATATGTTAGAAGAATCCAGCCAGGCCCAGAAAGGCCACATAGCTCAGTGGCCTGGCCTTTTTCTTAAGATTTATTTTTATTTCCCATATGAATACTTTGTATGTATGTGTATCACATGCATGCCTGGTACCCTCAGAGGCATAAGATGGCATCAGATTCCCTGGAACCAGAGTTATAGACAGTTGTGCGCTGCTATGTGGGTGCTGGGAAGGAAACCCAGATCCTCTGAAGCAGCAAGTGTTCTTAACCACTGAGCCATCATTCGGGCCCCATTGCCTGAGACTTTGCTTTTCTCCTTCACCAGCTCCCATCACCTGTGCCCACATCACCAAGGTTGTCACACTCCCACACGTTTGGCTGGAATCTTCCTAGCCAATCACATCAGCCTGACCCACTGCAGACCCCACGTAGGAAGGTAAGGTCTAGCCTCACAGAGCTTGGAAATTCACTCCCTTCTTCACTTTATACAGAAACTCTTGTTTTTAGGGACAAGGTCTCACTAAATTTCCCAGGCTAGTTGTGAACTCCCGAATTCAAGTGATCCTCCAGCCTCAGTCTCCTGATAGACAGGACTACTATCTGGTACTACAGGTATATACCTGGTTTTGTTGTTGTTGTTGTTTGGTCTTTTTAAGACAAGGTCTCCCCAGTAGCCCCAGCTGGCCTGGAACTCACTATGTAGACCAGGATGGCCTCTATCTCACAGAGATCCTCCACCTGCCTCTGCCTCCCCAGTGCTGGGATTAAAGGCGAGCTCACCATACCCAGATGTTTTATTGGGTTTTTTAAATTACATTTTTATTTGTGTGTGTGTGTGTGTGTGTGTGTGTGTGTGTGTGTGTGTTGACATACATGTGCCACAGCACAGGTGTGCAAATCACAGGGTAACATTCAAGAATTGGTTCTCTCCTTCTACCATGTGGAGTCCAGGAATTGAGCTTAGGTCATCAGGCTTGGCAGCAGGTACCTTTATCTGATGAGCCATCTCACCAGCCTTATACCTGGCTTTAGATTTTCAGTTTCAGTTTCAGTACCAAGGCCCAGACATGGTCAGTTTCTTCAAGTTTGTTTCCCCTAAAGTCAAGCTTGCGGACCCCACACAGAAAGTGTATGAAGTGAACACTCAGGGCCCTGGCACTCTGGGCTGGTTCAGGCTCAGAGAGCTGGAACAGATGAACACAGCTATGTGCTACCAGCAGCCCCAGGGGGAGATTGAGGCCCCTCTCAGGAATTAGCTCTAGATGTCTGCTTCCTCACACCCTTCACCTCTACCTGGCCAACTCTTTAGTAGCTCTTTACCTCTCTTTCCAACTTAGACATGCTCCCTCCCTTCAAGACTCAGGGAAGGGAAGGACCTGGAGAGATGGCTCAATGGTTAAGAGCACTGGCTACTTTTGCAGAGGACCTGGGTTCAGTTTCCAATACCCACATGGAGGCTAACATTCATCTATAACTCCAGTTCTAAGGGATCTGACACCTCTTCTGACCTCCATGGGCACTGTATGACATGGTTGTACTTACATACATACAAGCAAAACATTCATACACACACACAAAAAAATTAATTAAAAAAAAATTTTTAAGACTCAGGGAGTGGAAGGGAAGCATCTCAACAGCAGGCTTGCCCGCTCTGGTCAGAAACTGTGGATTTATTTGTGGATTTATTTATATATGTATTTATTATTTATATATGTATTCAAGGTACTCAGCACCTTGAACACACTAAGCAAGCATTCTACTGCTGAGCCACCCCACAGCCCAGAACTGGGTTTTAAAGATGGGTGCAGTTTCCTTTAGGGAAATCCACAGGCCTTGAGTTTCTGTGGGATTTTCTTAAGGTGGGTCAGGAAGTAGGTGATATGTTTTCAAAGGTAGGTGAGTCAAACTGTAGGATAAACACAGGCCCCTCAGCATGCGGGGCCCTCTGTTCCCTGTGCTGCATTGCCTTGGTGTCCCCACACCCAGGTCTTCCAGGCCCCTCTGGTTCTTACATGCCTCCCAGTTGTCCCCATAAGTTCCTGCAATTAAAATCTACAGGGGCTTGTTGTGGGTGGAGTTGGAATGGCAGAAAGTATGCTTAATACATCTGAAACCCTGGGCTCAATATCCAGGGTAAATAATAATAACATTGATGACAATCCACCCTCATAAAAATCCATCATGGTTTTGTAAGTCTCTCATCCCACCTATTTGGGTAGCTGTGGCAGGAGGATTGCTTGAGGCCAGGGGTCCAGAGATGAGTTTCAGCAACACATAAGACCCAGTCCCTCAGGAAAAAAGATCTACCCCCACCAGTACAATCTAAATGAGAGTGACTCTCTTTCTGAGTGGTCACCCAGACCACTTGGGGCCCGACTTGGTCCTCCGCTCCAGACCCATTACCCTAGTCTCTCTCCCTACCTAGAAGTTCCAGATATTGCCCCATACATACACTGATCTCACAAGCTATTCCAGTACACTGTCACATCCCTACTTGCTCCTCCCTCTTGGGCAAGCCCACAGGCATGGGTTACAGTGTTCTCCCTCTGCAAATTGGTCTGTGCTGAGAATCCCTACTTAGTACTTGGAAAGCCCTTTTTTCTGAAAGCCAAGGTGGTAAGGTAGATTCCAGTATCAGCCTCTGATGAGCAATAATATAGCCAGTTTCAAGAGCAGCAATGTAGACCTTAATCATAGGAACCAAAATTAGGAAGAGATGCCCTCCCGTGGTTAAGTTTAGGGTCAGCAGATTTGGGTATGGGACCCTCCCCTCCTATTTCTCAGGGACTGTGGTCCTCTGATGACCCTAACTCCCCTCCCAGCTTCCCCACTCTACCTAGTCCCCAGCCCCAGGCAGTCCAAGGATTTGAAGTCCATCCTCCCATCTACCCTAAGTTTCTGCTATATAAGAGCTGGTATCGAGGGAGTCACTATTCTGTGGGTGTCTGTGAAAAGACAATGCCTGCTAATCCCAATAAATCCCAACTAGTCAGACTAGAGTGTGGCTTAGTGGTAGGGTGCACAAGGTCCTGGGCTCCATCCCTAGAGCAAAAAACAAAACAAAAAGGCCACCTCGATTATTGTGAGTCACTGCAAAGAAGATAATACAACAATGACAAATTTCAAGCTGGAGGAATCTCTGTGGGTAGATGGTTAGCATTAAAGAAAGCTTTACGGTCAGCTCTGAGAATCTGCTTCTGGTTCTCTAAAGCCCCAAGCATCCCAAGGTCAAATGAAATGACACTCATACAGTAGAAGGTGCACCTGCTCTAACCCCGGTCCACACCCTCCATTTACATCCCAGGAAGACAAGACAGGACAGACTAGTGGCTCTGCAACCTGGATCATAATCACATTGACATGCAAGGCTTTACTCAATTTCCAAATCCTCTATGGACGGAACTCCAGAACCCAGAAACCAAGATCTATTACGTGCCCAGGTCACACAGCACACACAGGTATATGTGTTTGCCTCCTCCCTTGAGATTCCTAGAGGGTCCTGGGGAGCAAGGGGTTAAACACATAACCTGAGAGGGGTTCTTACCAGGAAGAAGCTGACATCTATGAGCAGGACGGTAGGGATCCCTCCGAAGGTGACCCCCTGGAGCACAGTACTGTTTTTGGCCGAGTTGTAGCAGTAGGAGTCATTGGGTTTGTCCCCAAGGCCCAGACGCTCACGGATGGACACAGCCTTAGATGGCCATAGCTCCAGGAATGGGGAGCTGGTCATCATGCCTGCCCTTCCTAGGAAACAGAACAAGCAAGTGGTCAGGGTGTGAACTTTCCCAGTTTCCCCTGTCAGTGCTGCCACAGCCAAAAATAGCAGGTGGAGCACATGAAGCCATCAGCACAGTTAGGGAGAGCTGGACACCAGATTCCTGTGCCTATTAAGAGTCCACAAGGACTAGGTCCTAGGTCCATTGAGGAAAAAGCCCAGATGGTCAGACTAGATGACCTACCCAGTGGGCAGATGCCCCAGAGAGGTGGGGAGGGGGGTTAGAGGTGACTGTTGCTGTGGCTGAGGAGTACTGAAGTTCCTCCAGCCTCCTACTACTGATGAGAAATAAGTCTTGCAAGAGTCCTTTGGGCATCCGGTAGGGCAGAGGGAAGAGGACCACCATGGGAAGAAACCACAGATGCCAGGAAATGGGGATGGAAACAGCCAGGAATGCACAACAGTTGATCCATCTGAGCCAAGGACAAGACCCCACTCCCATTATCCTTCAAATGCCAAAGCTGGGATCTCTAAGATGGGTCCACTTGACATACTTGGAATCCAAGGTTCCCCAGACCAAAAAACTAAGTGTGGCAGGACTGAGCCACGAACCCCACCTTCTGACTCTTAGAGCCTGCCTCTTCATACAACTGTAATCACACGGTGATTTCCTGAGCAACAAGGCAGACGAAGGGGCTGCCAGAGAGGAGAGGCCCAGGTCCAGTGGGGGTGCTCAGGGCAAGGCAGGCCCCAAGTTCCACCTTCCTTTCCTGCCTTCCCTCCAACAGAAGGTTCAGTGTCCCAAAGCAGACACAGCTGTCTGCTGGGTACCAACTCTGAAGGTTCCTGCACTCCTACCAATCTAATGGAAATCTCTAGAGCCTTCCCCCTGACACTGAAGGCTGAGGATTTTAGTATCCAAAGGTTCCGGCCTGCTTTTCAAACCATCTGTGATTGGAAAGTCATAAGAAATGGTCAGCACCTCCTTCCTTAGGTTTCCACCTCCTCAAATCTGTTTACATTAGAATTCCCAGGGGATTTCCACAGCAGCTTATCCTCTTTCCCTACTAAAGGAACAGAAGTCTTAGGGACAAGAACAAAAACTGTGGAGAACCCCAGAAGCTGTCTGAACTATCTGAAGTACTAATGAGGTGCTCTTGAAGGGACAGGGGTCCTAGTTCTGACTCCTGAGACTGCTGTACTGGGGATAACATACATACACACATACACACACACACACACACACACACACACACACACAGGCTCACCCACTCATGACAGGAAGTGCAGGAAGGATGGGGAGGGGGGACCTAAGACCAAGAATCACTTTCTCATCCCTATAAGGAACTTGGGGTGGCTGAAGGCAGGGGGTTATGATGCCAGAGCCATGGATTACTGGCTGTGACCAGAGTCATGAATATCACCTCCACCTCCAGGAGCTGAAGTTCCTGGTTTCTCTCCTTTAAACTCCACCCAGAGGAGCAGGACATGGTGTCCAACACCAGCAATTCCAGCACTAAGGAGCTGGAAGTAGGAGGCTCAGGAGTTCAAGGCTACATAGCAAGTTTGAGGCCAACAGACAGTTCTGGGCTCAGTGCTAACACCTCCCAGGGCTCCAAGCACCCCTGGCAAAACTAATGGAAATTCCCAACTGAGGCTGTCTCAAAAAAAAAAAAAAAACAAAGAAAAAACCACACCACGGATGCCAGTGCTTGAAACACCCCTGCCTGGTGCTGCAAGGCCTTCGTGTTGCCACACTTACCAGACATGATGGGGAGAAAAGACTGTGGGCTGCCAATGGAGAAGTCAGTTGGCGCAATCCAAACCTCCCCAGCTTCAGGGAGCTGGGCCTCCAGTCTGCCTCTCATTTCCTGATTGATTTTCTTGGCCACTGTGACCTGTGCCTACAGCACCAACCTTTACAGACTATCCTGAGACAACAGATGCCCCCCCAGCATCACGAAAGAGTCACTGGGGAGCCACCCTCTTCCAGTTTAAGAATTCAGAACAGAAACCCTTCTGCACCCTGCTCCTGCACTCACCTGCCTAAATGCCTCTTGTCCCATAGACCCAATATAAGGCTTGTGGGTTTGCCCATTAGGTTCTCTCCTACCTGGCTCTCCCTCTAAACTCCCAGAGCAAGGTCACCACCTGCCACTATGCCTCTGTGCTGTCCTGTTCCTCTCTCTTCACCCCACAGCACCTGCGGCTCCAGCTCCACCCCTCTTGTCCAGTAGTTCAAGGCCCTGTTAAGGTCAGAGGTGTGGGCCTCTCTCTCAAAGAAGAATGCTGGTTGCAAGCTTGAGGTAGCACCCCGGACCAAGGGCCTCATACAGACCTGGAGGACTGCTGCTGACGCCCAGAACTAGAATCAGGGAAAGGGAATGCAGCAGAGCAAACAAGGAAGGCTTGGAAAGTGAAAAGGAAAAACATCCTCATGAAGGGCTCACAGAGGGAGCATTGTGCCAGAGAAGGGAGGTGCTGTGGTGGTGTTAGGGGCAGGGAGGATCACTCACCAAGTCATTTTGCTTCAGGGTCCAGGAGAAGCAGAAAGGCTCCCTTCCCCTGCAGTCCCAGTCACACCTCTAAGTTATTTTCCTCATGCCAAACAGACTTCCCAGGTGGGAAATAAGGGAGGTCATCCAGCAAATGGGACAGCCTGGGCTCAAGATCAAGCCATCTCAGGGCCTCCACAGACAGGTGGTGTGCCCTGCCTCACGGAGATCCCAAGGCTCTTCCTGTCCCCACCCACCAGAGGTATGAAAAGCTAGGTACTGCTTCTAAAACATCCCCTAGGTGCTCAGTAAGGCAGCGGGTCTATGTCTTCTCAAGGGAGCTCTGAGAGGAACTCACCCACCATTGGACAGGCAGGACGGGCTGTTTGGCATGGGGGTGGGGGTGGGGTTAGGGGCTAGGGAGTTCAGCTCAGAATGTCTGCCTAGAAGGTGCAAGGCCTGAGTGCCATCCCCAGCACTGTAAAACACAAAGAAAACTTTTTTTTAATTAAAAATTAGGCACTGTAGCCGCAGATGCCCTGCCTGGGTGGGCACCCTTGACACGATCCACCATGCCACATTCAGTGAATACATAGAATACATACAGACACGCGCAAATGCCTATCTCGCATCCATCAAATCACCTCATTCCCAGTCCAAACCCTCAACTGAACAGGCCCTCGGCATCCGCCAGAACTTCAGGACTGAGAGGATGTTCTCTGGACTTTTGCAAAAGTCTCCAGGGCTGTTGGCCCCGCCTGAGACTAAAAGACAGCAACCTCCACCCCAGCCCGGGGCCTCAGGTAGCCAGGCTTATCATGTCTAGGTAAGTTGTCGGGGATTTGGTTTCTCAGCTCTCCCTGCCCTCCCCACCCCCACGGCACCCTTCCCCAAGTCCCCAGGCGGCAGGGAGAGGTCATCCTGACAGCCCGAAGCTGGCCCTTGCTCGGTCAAGACCCCTATATAGTTAAAGAAGATCCGGGAGGTCCCACCAACTCCAAAGCGAGCGGAGGAGAAGGAGCGCGCAGTCGCCGGAAAGCTGTCAGGAAGTCGCTGCAGCGCCCGGTTTGATTGGCACTCTCCAGCCACCTACCCACCCGGCTGCTGTCACCCCGAGAGCCCACACTAGGCGCGCCGCCGGGGTGGACCCAGGAGCGCCGGGGACGACCCTCCTCTCGTCCGTGCCCCTTCCGTCCGTACCTGCGGCGGCCTGGCCAGCGCGGCCAGGGGGAGTGGCCTGGAGGCACCTGGCGGGGCGGGGCTGCGTCCCCACCACTTAAAAGTTACAAAGTGAAACTCCACAGCCTCCTGCACATGCGCAGACCTGCGTCCACGCGTTGCCCAGTTTGGAGTCCTAGTCCGCGCCGGCGCCAACTAGACTGTACCTGGGACCGGGAGCCCCTCGGCCGTCCTCCACTCCTGGCCCCTGGCCCACGCCTGGCCATTCTTTCCTCCACCTCCACGCCGACCAGGCCAGCTAGCGCCCGAGGACCTAGATGTCTCCAGACTAACTTTCCTCTGTGTCCCGCTGAGAGCACACTGAACGAAGCCCAGGATAGTAGCGGCTCTAGAGAGCATCTGCAGACGTTCCTGATCGGTCCTGTTTGGGACCTGGCTTCTAGGCCCTCCCAGGGAGTTGGGGGCGGGGTGGGGACTGAAGCCCAGTGGGGCCAGCCTCCTCTCAGCCATCTGTAGCCACAGGAAATCCGCTAGGACCATGAAAGTTCCAAAGGTCTAGCCGATAAAGTATACCATGTCCAGCGCTCCGCGGGGCCAAGCCTGGTCCTGCCGCTGCCAGGCCACCACCATTGCCAGCTACAGCCCAGCTCTCTGAGCACCCCGTGTCTCCTGGCTGAGGAGTAAGGAGGTTCCAGCCAGCTCCTGGAGGACAGGGTCCCCGCCGGGTGCCCAAGAGGTATGGAGTAAGGACGTTGCGCAGGCCACTGCTGCGAACTACCCACTCTGCAGGCCTCAGTTTCTGCATTCAAAAAGCAAGATGTGGGACCAAAGCTTGCTGTGGGGTCCTTGCCAGCACTAACCATCTCCCTGTGCGGAACAGCTCCTCCTTTTCCGACACAGGCTTGCCGGTTCCCTGACCTCACTGCCAGATCTGGCTTTCAACTTCTACTGTAAAGATAAAAATATCCTCTCCACCTCTCTGTCCCTGTTTCTAGCCCCAGCCTGCAGCTGTCTGAAGCTGGGTGTCTCTTCCTCTCTCCTTTCTCTGTCCCTCCTGGCATCCATCATTTCTCCCTCAAGGCCCTAGTCACAAGTTATCTCCCAGAGGAGAGACTCTCTGCCAGAGTCTTTCCTTAGCTCTGCTTGGCCAAGCCCCCTCCTGCCATTTTAAGGATCCCACACAGCTGGCTTCACCAGATCCCTGGGTGGGGCCTCTGGACATTCCCCTGGCTCCTTAGACTGGCTCTGTCTGACCGTCATCTACCTGCTCCTCCTACACACACCTCCATGTCCTCTTTCATACAACCTGTCTGGCCTGTGCCCTGAGGTCTAAGAAAAGGTTAGGATCCTTGATAACAGAGAAGGAAAGGCATCCGAAGTTTGTTCTTCAGTATGCTACAGTTGTTTCAAAGTCAAGAGAAGGCTGTGATAGATCAGAATTGAGTTGACAAAACAAAATAAATGCTAGAGACATAGCTGGTAGAATGCTTAGGTAGCATACATGAAGACCTGCATTTGATCCCTAGCACCACATAAACCAGGCATGATGGTACATGCCTGTAATCCCAGCACTTGGGAGGTGGAAGCAGGAGGATCAGAAGTTTAAGGTCTGGAGCCAGTAAGATGGCCCAGGAGGTAAAAGCATACCACAAAAGCCTGATTACCAGAGCCTGATCCCCAGAACCCACAGTGGAAAGAGAGAACCAACTCCCAAAAGTCATTTTCTGACCTCCACAGCACATGTTGGCACTCACACATCATCATCATCATCATCATCATCATCATCATCAATTTAGTTAAATTTAAAAAGAGGAGCTAGAGAGATTGCTCAGCAGTTAAGAGCACTTGCTAAGTACCCGGCACCCACGTGGTGACTTGAAACTAACTTGCATCTTGTAACTTCAGTTCCAGAGGTTCTGATGCCCTCTTCTGGCCTCTCCAGGCACTGCATGCATGTGATACACTTTCATGCGTTCAAGCAAAACACTCGTACACATTAATTTTTTTTAAAATCTTAAAAAAAATAATCAAGGTCATCTTCTGCTACATACTGAGTTGGAGGCCATTCTGGGCTACATGACACTTTGTCTCAAAAAATAATAAAATAAATAAAATAGGCAGTTAGGGTTACATGGTGAGTCCCTGTCTCAATTTAATAAATACAGGATGTAAGTTGAACTATCCATAGTCCTGACTGTATCAGTCACTGTGTGAAGTAAGTATTAAATCATCATTTCTTTAAATCAAAACTATGGAAGTTAGGAATTGCTCCTGTTTAATGGATAAATATGAGGAGGTTTAGACTAGAATTTAGACTACAGGATAGAGAATTTCTAGCTAACAGCAGCTGTTCAAACTGACAGAGACACTAAGGCGTCCATTCTCCAGGCTGAGACTCTGCATCAATTTGTTTAAAAGCCTCTGGAAACTCAGCATCCTAACATGTTATACTCAACATTGTGACTATCTGCTCCCTTTATTTGTCAAAAAGAGTGAGCCCCATTCTTCTAGTATTGTGATTTAGATAAGACTTTTTTATTTTGATGCAACAATAATTTAAATAAAACCCCAATCATTGTACCCAGAGAAAAAAAAAAACAGAAGATTCTGTTTCATTTCTGAGAAACAAGCCCCACAGACTAGAGTCTGAATAAATCTCAGTCTTAGCACCATTTATTACTTGGGACCTTGATCAAGTCTTGACCAAGTCAAGCTCTTTAATTCTCCAGTCAAGTTGACCTAAGTCTAGGACTTTCTTTTCCTGCATCAATTTGCACAGTTGTGGCTAAAATAGAGAAATGAGAAGGTACAGAATAAAATGTGTTTTACTCATTTCTCTCAAAGCTCTTACTATCTAAGCTGGGCATGTACAATCAACTTGAACCCAGGTATTAGGCCCAGAGTTGAGGCTAGAACTCTACCCAGATATCGTAACAAGGTAAGGAAACAATGACAAATTGGGAATTCTGTCCTTAGCTTAGAGTATCTCTACATGTAAGTGCTTAGCATATAGTGCATTGAGCAATATGAAGGACAGAGAAGACTAGGGGTTCCCCAGAGAGTCCAAACTTAGGGAATGAGTTGATGGAGAAAGCAAATCTAGAGCTCAGGAAAGAGCACAGAGCATTAGCCCCTCAGGGATTCAGAATCCCCATCTTTCCTGGTACACTAGAGCATTTCAGACACATGTAAAAGTCACATCCTTGGGTGGCCTTGGGTATGACTATGGTTCCAGCTCCCTAGGTATGGGCGCCCCATCTGAGACACAGCTGCACTTCTGCACCCTCATGTTGGGCAGGCTGATGACCTGTGCTCTGGTCCTGCCACCCTCCTTCATGCTGATGATCATGGGCAGTGAGGCTGTCTCAGAGGCGATGCACTGCCGTGGTCCCAGAAACGGCCACTTGATACTCAGGGACTCTGGTAGCTGCAGGCAGCTGCCCACACACTCATAGGTCAGGAACCCTGGGGGCTCCAGAACCCAGTTCTCAGCCCATTTCATCCCCTGCAGATCCAAGTACAGCTCCTGGCGGCAGCAGCGGCTGCCTTCTGTTACTGGTGCCTCAGGATCACAATTGCCTTGAGCTCTGTGGGGACAAGGAGAGGTCAGAGGTCAGCTGGGTTGTCTACAGTCAGGAGCATTTTGGAGAGAGAATTAAAATCCATCTCACGGGGCTGGAGAGATGGATCAATGATTAAGAGCACTGGCTGTTCTTGCAGGGGATCAGGGTTCTCCCAGCACCCACAGGGCAGCTAAGAACCATCTGTAACTCCAGTTCCAGAGGATCTGATACCCTCTCCATGGGCACTGCATGCACTCCATGGGCATTTTACATGCAGGCAAAACACTCATATACATAAAATAAAATAAAATTAGAATTTGTTTTAGAAATCCATCTCTCAGGCCAGGTGTGATGGTACACACCTTTGATCTTAGCACTCAGGAGTCAGAGGTAGGCAGATATCTGCGAGTTCAAGGCCAGCCTGCTCTAGATGGGGAGTTCCAGGCTAGTCAGAGCTACAAAGTAAGGCCCTGTCTCAAAATTTAAAAAAAAAAAAAAAAAACATCTCTCAATGTACTCTAAGATTGGATTGAGTGTGTGGCTCAGTGGGTGGGGGGAGCACTTTCTTAGCATGTTGTGAGGACCTGGATTCCAACACTAGCACCACAAGCAAATAAAACAACTGAATATTGATATTTGTGTTAGGGGATGAACAGCTAAGAACTAATAAATACTTGCTGAACGTTTCCTAACAATCAGAGGACAACTCTTTTAAAGGTCCTTAATCATTTTCACACACTCTGAAAATTTATCATTTCAGAGTCAGTTTAATTCCCTATTCGTCTTTAATTTCGGTTATTAATTTGACCCACAGCGCCTACCCGTAGTCCTTGAGGTCCAGCGTGTGCAGCTCCAGCTGTGGCTCGCCAGGACCCTCGCCGCGCCAAGTCCCCTGCGCCGCGAAGCGGACCAGCTTGTGCGCACTGGTGGCCCCGGGGCCCAGGTGCTCCCTCTGCACCGACACCTGCAGCAGCAGCGGCTGCCGCGGCCGGTTCAGCTGCTGCCAGAAGTTCACCGCCTCCGTCACGTCGAAGGCCTTCCAGCCGCTCTCGTGGATGGACACCAGCCTGAGACACAGCCGCGGGTCAGACCAGGGCGCTGGCGCGGTTGTCAGGGAAGCCCTGGGTGGAAGAGACTGTCCCGCCCTGTCCACGTCCCCATCCTCTCCTGCTCCCCTCCCGCAGCAGCCCAACAAGCCATCCTCCGACACACATCTCGCCGCAGCCCCCACCTGGAGTCGATGAGGGAGGTGCGGTTGGAGCCGTCCTCGCGGACGCGCAGCCACTCAATGGTGACCCGGGCGCGGGCGCTGTGCGGGGCCAGCCTGTCGTGCCTCCGGAGCGCGGTCCTGGGAACCGGCTCCTGGAAGAGCCGCAGCACCGCCTGCACCAGCTCGCTGTTGGGCTGCAGCCGCTGCTCCATGGTGAACATCAACAGGTGCGTGGAGGTGTCAGACACCAGGAACCTGCCGGCCACATCTGGGGACATGGACAGAGTCAGCCGGGCCTCCAGGGCAACAAGACCCAGGGCCAGCGACCAAGATTTGGAGGGAAAGAATCCCATGGACTAAGGGAGAACGAAATACCCATGCCCATCCAGGAATTTTTTAATTGCCATCAGGCCCTAAATATTAAAACAATCCGTGGAGCTGCAGCAACCTCCAGAATTGGTAGTAGCTTTGGCGATCTATGCAAGGAGCTGGGTGGGGATCAAGAACCAGCAACGTTTCCTGGAGAAGATTACAGGGACAAGATGGACCAGAACAGAGTGAGGCTGCAGAGACTGCAAAGTGGAAATCCAAGGTCACCAGTGGAACTGTGATTTTAAGGGGCAGAGACTCTGATGAGGGGGTTTCCTGCTCAGTGACATGCCCCTAAAAAAGAGGAATGGGAGTCTATAAACAAGTTTGACAGGACTATTAAGTCCTGGCACAGATGGTGGGGACATTATCATACTCCTCAGAGGCACCAGCCCATGTGTTTCCTAACACTTGAGGGTCTAGGTTAATAGGGTGGTCACACCTAACCCTCAGCAGTTACCTCCACTGCCTGTCCAAAACTAGCCTTCTCATCTCCCCAGGCCCACCCTCCACAGGAGAAGAAAGTGGGTGTTGGTCTGGCTGTGCCTCTGTGGGCCTCCTCCAGCCAGGAGAGACTACCATCCTGACCATTGCCATCTTGACTGTTGATACTGCCCCTCTCACTCTCTCGAATTCTCTGTTAAAGTTGCCTCTGCCTAGTCATTCTGTTCAGTGTTCATGGCGCATGGAGACAGATAAGATACAGTCGGCCACTATTCCTATTCCGGATAGTGTGACCCCAGGAAGTTCTGCCCTGCCCCTCAGCTCTCCAGGGGGGACTTGGACCTTTGCCACATCCATTCAGCACACCCCCCACTTTATTCCCCCCTCTGCTCCTTGATTTACCAACAGGTACAGCCTGCCCACCCCTCTTCCTGGCCCCAAGAATCCTTTTATACATACCTACAGCCCTGACACCCAGACCCAGCCATGTATCCAGACCACACTGCCTTCTAACAACCCCCTCAGGCTGTGCTCCCAGTCATCACTTCCATCCTGATCCCCACAAAGCAAGGACCCATTGATAACATCAGAGTGGGCATGGTCAGGCTGCCCTTCCCAAGGACCAGGGGCAGGAGTAGAGTGCTCACCTTGGAAGTTTTGGCTGAACCTTTTCCCTCGGGAGTGGCTGGCATGGCTGCGCTGCAGCAGGGCCACATATTGGGCCCTGACATGAGCAGAGATGGTCAGCCCGTCCACATCATCCCTGTCCAGGACGGGTGCCTGGCTGAGCTGCAGCTGCTGCAGTAATCTGGTCCGGACCTGTTCCTCGGTCAGGGCTAACCCAGGGCCAACCAAGGGCAGCACCCAGAATGCACAGCAAAGCCACAGGGACCGCATGGTGCTGCTCAATAGATGAAGGAGCCTGGGATGTGTGTGCCCCTCAGGTGTCTAGGAAGGTCTTGGTTAGGACTGCTGAAAATTGTGGCTGACCTTTTTTATAGCTGGCTGTCGGATAGGGGGCTGGGAGGAAGGAGAGAGGTCACACCCGGGACCCCCTGGGAAGTCAGCTGCAGACAAGCCCCTGAGCCCTGAGGAGGGGCTGTCTAGAAAGGGCACAAAAGACTGTCTGAACTGAGAACAGCTGGTCCACTGCTGTCTGGTAGGCATATACCTCTATCTTGAGGCACGGTGTCTGACCAATTAAATCTAAAAGGTTGAAACTGGGGAGGTAGGTCAGTAGTGGAGTGCTTGCCTAGCATATGTGAAGTCCTAAATTCAACTAAACCTTAAGTTCAATTCCTACTGTGAGGTGGAAGGAGGATCCTGGGGAAGATGGGGGTGGTGGGTCTCATTCTCTGCTGGAGAGAGCCTTGTTCTTTACCGCATCCAAACCCTGAGACAATCAGATGCCCATCAACACTTGGGCTCTCTAGGGACTGGGTCTTGCCTCCCAATACTCCTGACCCAGTGCTCAGAGGACTTCTGGGGCTGACAAGAGCCAGTATTTCCACTGAGGGGTGGGGCAGGGAGGGAGGCTTCCCTGTCCAGAAAGTCTGGGACCAACCGATAGGAGACAAGCCCCATCCTTTCCTTTTCTTGCTGTCTGAGAATTAGAGTTGAAAGTCGGCCCTCTCCCCGTCTTTTGAGACTAAGACTAAGGGCAACCTCCCCAAGTCCACACAATTAAGATCAATCCCCGCATAGTCAAGTCTTTCAATTCTCAACCCAAAGTTCTTTCACATCATCAACCATTTGCTGCAGGGTCCTGCCCTGATGTTTGAAGGCAGCCAGGACTCAGTTGGGTTGGGAGGAATGTACCTACACTCCCGAATCTCCTGAGCCTTCTCCAAGACACAGGTAGTCCACTATCTGAATGTGGATTTGTTAGCTGGTTGAAGAATTAGTTGTGCTGGAAGAATAAAATTGGACAACTAACCAGGAGTGAATTTGGGACATGCTTACACTAAAATATTATCCATTATTTACCTATGATTTGCATTGCACCTGGTGTCTTGTGCTTTTATTTGCTGAAAGGACAGTATAGTGGATTGGAAGACTTGTCAAAGTGCTGAATGGCTCTCCCACCGAGAAGCAGCCCCACCCTTTGTTATGTAGAAAAGGAACTGACTGCCCTGCCACTCCCACCTGGGTCTGAATAAGTCTGGCCTGAGATTGGAAAGTGGTCCCCTAACTAGGTCTGACCCTGGGCCAGAGTTAAGGGCCCAGGGGAGGGCAATAACCCAACCATAACCGTTCTTAGAACTTGAGTTACAATGAGGGCTGATGGAGAAATGGAGCCTGGTGTCCCCAACCACTCTGGCTTCTATGACCAGGTCTGGATTAGACCTCAGAGTCCAGGCTGCCAGGAAAAAACACTGCATTAGAGGTTATCTGTATCCTAGAATACTGATCAGCTGGACTAGGCTGAGATCCAAAGGGACCTCTGAGGTCAGGGAAACAGAATCTTTCCAGGCTAGGGTCCGGGTCCCTCTACTCAGTAGGGAGAGATACTTTGTGTCTGCTCAGCAACCAACACTCCAAGACCAGCCCAGGTGCCACAGGCAACCTAGGCTGACACCATCATCAAGCTCCTAACCCCAGTCTGGGGCCCTGTGGTTCCAGGGGAGTCTCCAGACCTGTTCTGGGTAGGTAGTCTGCCTGTCCTCCCAGAGCACTTAAGCTTTCTAGCCTTTTTGAGAGATTCCTGGATCAAGGAAGGTGGGACCAGAAATTTCAGGCATGCGGCTCCTTCTCCTGGCAGGTATGAGCTAAAACCTTGCTGTGCCACACTTACAAGCTGTGTGGCCCCTGCACATTTTAGACCCTCTTCAATATGACATGAGTCCTCTCCTGGAAAATGAGATTAAGATACTTTTTACACAGGACATTTGTCCATGTTAATCATGATGTCCACAGAATTCCTAGCAAGCCTCTTGCTGCCTAGCTGTCTCTTGCTCTGTTACATTATTTGATGTTGAACTTTCTAAAATGTAAGTTGACTTTTTTTTGGCAAATAATCACAATTCTTCAACATTCAAATATATATGGAAGAGAATACAGGAAACACGTCTCTTCTTTTGTTCTTATCTGATCATTTTTTCCTGTCTCTTCTTAGAAATAGCACAAAGATGTGTTTCCCATCATACACATTTTACTAATCTATCTTTATTTGCACTCCGTTTTTCAGAATTATAATTTTATCTTTATAATTGGGGGGAAAAGCTGGATGTGGCGGTGCATGCCTTTAGTCCCAGAACTGGGGAGGCAGAGGCAGGCGGATCTCTGAGTTCAAGGCCAGCCTGGTATACATTGTGAGTTCTAGGCCAGCTGGGGCTATAGGGAGAACCTGTCTCAAAAAGACCAAAAAAAAAAAAAAAAAAAAAAAGGTGGGGGTGGGGGTTGTTGTTTGGTGGTTGGTTGGTTGGTTGGTTGGTTGGTTGGTTAAGGTTTTGTGTTGTATTTGGTGAGTTGCTTTGTTTTGTCTTTGCACAATACTGGAATTGAACCCAGGGCCTTAGGGGTGCTAAGCACGTGTTGTACTATAGTCCAGTACCCATTTTATTTTAGTGTAAGAGATAGTGTTTCACTGTTGCACAGGCTAGCCTCCAACTCTCAGATTCAAGTGATTCTCCTGCCTCAGCCTCCAGAGTAAGTAGTAATACAGGTGTGCACCACAGTACCCAATTCCCAATTTTATATTTTAAGCAGTCCAGTGAAAAGTTTCTCCCACCCAGAGTCCCCTTTCAAGAGACAACCAGATTATTACTTTAGTAGATTTCGCAGGGTTATTTGCGCTGACATGTAACCTTAGCTTAGTGGGGGTTTTTTGTTTTTTTTTTTTTTTTTTTTTTTTTTTTTGGTCTTTTTGAGAGAGGGTCTCCCTGTAGCCCTAGCTACCCTGGAATTTGCTATGTAGGCCAGGCTGACCTTGAACTCACAGAAATCATCCACCTGCCTCAGCCTCCCAGGTGCTAGGATTAAAGGCAAGCCACCACGCGTGGCTAACCTTAGCTTCTTTACAATCAGACCTTATCATTGTTATGAGTCAGGTGGCAATTGAGACACATTTGTGGTTTATTTGGATATTTGTTTGTTTCTGTGTTGGGATGGAATCTAGGGCCTCCTGCATGCTAGCAAGTGCTCTATCTTCTGATGGTTTTTAAAAATCATTTATTATTTTTGTTTTTTGTGTATGAGTATGTTGCCTGCATACAAGTGCATCTATGTCATGCAGTACCCAAGGAGGTCAGAAGAGAGTGTCAGATTCCTCTGGAACTGGAGTTAAAGATGGTTGTTAGCTGTCATGGGAATCAAACCCAGGACCTCTGCAAGAGCAGCCAGTGCTCTTAACCACTGAGCCATCTCTCCAGCCCCCTATTTTCTGATGTTACCAAGTGTGTTAGACAGGTAGGAAGAGCTACCACAACAAAATACAATAGCCTTTCCTTTTTCTATTGTTGTTTATCCTGTCTGTTGTTATTGCTTGTTTGTTTTGTTTTTTTGTTCCAGACAGGTTCTCCAGAGATATGCAAACCTGACTGGCCTGGAACTCACTACATAGACAAGGCTGGCCTGGGGCTTACAATGATCCTCCCTTCTTGTTTGCCTTAAAATGTCCAAGTCATCTGTCACATCATTCCTGGGTCCTTTATAATTGCTGTGGCTATGGTAAAGTGATCTGCTTAATTTTTGGTTGTATTACTGAAGGTTGACTTTCCTGTACTGACTTTGAACCCAGCAGCCTTACTGAATTCTCTTACCATTTTGTAACAGCTTAGGTGACTCACACATTTCTAAAATTTCTTTTTTTTTTTTTTTTGATACAGGATCGCATGTATCTCAAGCTGGCCTCAAACTCACTATGTAGCCTGGGATGACTTTGACCTTCTGATCCTCCTGTTTCTACCTCCTGGGTGCTGGGATTACAGACATGCAATTTTATGTGGTTCTGGGTATTGAACCCAGAGCCTCCTGCATGCTAGGCAAGCACTCTACTACTAAGCTACATCCCCAGCCCTTTGTTAATGACAATTTAATTCCTCTTTTTCAACCTTTATTTCTCTGGTTCCCTCCTGCCTTCTTTTCTTTTCTTAATAACTCTTTTTTGTGATGCTGGAGAGGAACCAAGAGCCTTCAGCACGCTAGCCTTGGGCTGCAGGGATTCTGCTGCTGGGCCACACCCCAGCTCTGGTTCCTTTCTATTGTCTAATTCCATTAGCTACTATCTCCAGATAAATGCTGAGTGATGACAGCAGATATCACTGTCTTGTTCTTGATTTTAACAGGAAGCTTTTACCATTTCCCTCTCTACGTATGTGAGCTTTACAGTTAGGACAAATATGTTTTCATGTTAAAGAAATATCCATAATAGTTTTTCAGGAGCATGGGGGGGTTGTGTTTTGTTATTTATTTGGGTGCTGGGGATTGAAACCAGGGCCTTGGTTCTTCTAAGTCCTATCACTGAGCTACAGTCTCACCCAAATATGAAGAATTTACAAAAAATCAAGAATAGATACTGAATTACACCAACTTGATGAATACCTGGAGGCAGGAGAACTCTCTCCTACTGCTGGTGGGAATAGGAACAGCAGAGAATACCTGGGCAGTACAAACTATAGAGTTGACCGAACTACCTTATTCCAAGACCAAGCAACTCCACTCGGTCTGACAGAAATCATGCAAAATAGTGATTACAGTGGCATTGTGTATAAGTCTAAACAGGGTAGGATATATCTCAGGGCATTTTTTTCTAGCATGCATGAGAGTCTAGGTTGCATCGTAGCACCAAAAAAAACAAAGAACATAAAAAGAAACAACCCCCAAAATATGTAGCCACAGCATAGAGAATAAATTAAATGCGGGACAGTCCTTCCATGCAGTACTCTGCAACAAAGAACAGGAGCCAAAACTGTGTACAATGCTGGCCACTATCCTAGCAGAACAGCTATGCTGTTTAGCGATTTCTTTCTTTGTTTCCTTAGGACAGGGAACAGGGAGGCATTCACTAATGATGATCATTGTGCTCCTTTTCCAGATATCTAAACCTCTGAGTTTTTTCTACATTTACAAACTTTGGGGATTCTCAATCATCAAGCACAACTTTCTTAGACAATACACTTGGGCTTCAGAGAGCTTAAGGTGGAAATTTTAGGACCACCAATGTCCCCAGTGTCCTCATCCTCAAGGCCCACCAGAGTCCCAAGAGGGCTGCATCCCATTCCTGCCCTCCCTGTCCAGCACCTTATCCCTATTACCAAGTACATAATGAGTCTGTTATCACTTCTATCAAGTGCTTAATGAGTCCATTATGTGGTATTGCATTGTCCCACCACACAATGCCAACAAGCTTACCTGAAACACCTCAGGTCTGATTTGGGACTTTGGTATGGTACAAATTACAGTGTTTTTATGGTCCATGCAAAGTCTTTTGTTCTTTTTTTTTTTATATGCATGATGAGTGTATAGCCTTCATGTGTGTGAGTGCACCTGTGTTGTGCAAGTATGTAAGTGTGTAAGTACACCCGTGGAGGCCAGAAGAGGACATTGGATTCCCTGGAACTGGAGTTATGGATGGTTGTTAGCCATCATGTGGGTGCTGGGAATCAAACTTGGGGCTCTGCAAGAACAGCCAGTGGTCTTAACCACTGAGCCATCTCTCCAGCCCAGTTTTTTGTTCTTATGGGAACACAATATTATAATGACAGAAAACACAGACTTTTAATAGTTTCCTACCACCATTCCTCAGCCTGTGTTAAGTTAGCATGTCTTTGGATTGCATTAGAATTTTTTAGTATTTTATTTATTTTTTTAATATTTTATTTATCATTTTTACCTATGTGTATGAGTGTTATGCCTGCATGTAAGGCAGATGCAGGCATAACACTCATACCCATAAAATAAAAATAAATTTTAAAAAATTTAACACACACACATACACAATTGCTGTTTGAGTTGGTGATTTGAATTTCATTTAAAATCATTAAATGAAGGCTGGAGAGATGGCTCAGCAGTTAAGAGCACTGACTGCTCTTGCAGAGGACCCAGGTTCGATTCCTAGCACCCACATGGCGTCTACGAACCGACATTAACTCCAGTTCCAGGGGAATCCAAAGCCCTCTTCTGACCTCTGCGGCATTGCATGACACAGGTGCACTCACATACATGCAGGCTATACACTAATACACTTAAAATAAATAAAATATTTTTAAATCATTAAATGACTTTTTGGGATTAGAGAGAATTTCCAACAATTTCTGAAATGGCACTAAATATATTTCAGCCATTTTGTTCTATGTATTTATGTGAAGTAGCATTCTTAGCACTGGTGTTTATAATCAAAATATCAATCAACTCTGAAAAGGTTCTATGTACTGCAGTATCAAATACTCAACCACAATTTAATTTTCTATGTAAAAATAGATATGCATCTCCATTTTGTTTGTATATAAATCTGATTTTCATCTTTAAGAAATGGTAAAAATATGTATTATCCAGGGAATGATCTATGACAGTTGTGCTTTCTATTTCAGTGAGTGAGTTTATTAAGCAGATAGCAAGCAAAAGTAAAAGAATAAATAGTGGTGCTGGAAAGAGGGCTCCATATTTAACAGCACTTGCTGCTTTTGCAGAGGACCCTAGTTCAGTTCCCAGCACCCACATTGGGCAGCTCACGACCACCTGTAACTCCAGCTCCAGGAGATCTGATGCCCACTTTTGTCCTCCAAGAGTAGCCACATGTATTTGGCATACACACAAACACACACATACACACACACACACGCACACACACATGCACATGCACACGGACACACAATTTTTAAAAATCTTTTTATGAAAGTTTTTTTTTATGTGTATTACTGTTTTACCTGCATGTATGTAAGTGTACCACATGTCTGGTGCTCTCAGAGGCCAGAAGAGGGCATCAGAGTTAAAGATGGTTGTAAGCCACCATGTGGATGCTGGGAACTGAACCCAGGTCTTCTACAAGAGCAGCTAATATTCTTAACCATGGAGCCATCTCTCCGGGCCTAATAAATAAATCCTTTTT